TAATTCTATTGTTGGACACAAGCGTAGTAGAGTTGATGAAAATTCCTCTATGTTGTGGCATAGACGTCTGGGGCATATTTCTAGACCTCGGATTGAGAGGTTGATTAAAGAGGGTATTCTGCATGATCTGAATTTTTCTGATTTTGATACTTGTGTTGATTGCATTAAGGGCAAGCTTACTGCAAAAGTAAGAAATGCAGGTGCAAACAGGTGTGATGATGTGTTGCAACTTATTCATACTGATATGTGTGGACCTATGACACCCATTTCCATGGGTGGATACAGGTATTTTATCACGTTTATAGACGATTATTCCAGATTTGGATGGATAGATCTCCTACAAGAAAAGTCAAGTTCCTTGGATGCTTTTAAGTCCTTCAAAGCTGCTATTGAGTTGAAAACAGGAAAGAAGATAAAATGTGTAAGGTCTGACAGAGGTGGAGAGTATTATGGCAGATATGATGAGAGTGGAAGAAATCCAGGACCTTTCGCTAGATTTCTTAATGAATGTGGTATTGAAGCTCAGTATACTATGCCCGGTACTCCTCAGCAAAATGGTGTTGCAGAAAGGAGGAATCGCACTCTTCTAGATATGGTGAGATGTATGTTGAGTCATTCCTCTTTACCGAATTTCCTTTGGGGAGACGCTTTAAGGACTGCTGTGTATATTCTTAATCAAGTACCTAGCAAGTCTGTTTCAAAGACTCCTTATGAGCTTATGACTGGGAAGAAGCCAAGTTTAAGACACTTTCATGTGTGGGGTTGTAAGGCAGAGGTGAGACCTTATAATCCTCAGTTGAAAAAACTTGATCTTAAGACTGTCAGTGGATTCTTCATTGGCTATTGTATCGGTTCTCGTGGTAGCAGATTTTACTGCCCTTCTCACTCCATCCGGGTTATTGAGTCTGACCGTGCAATATTTTTTGAGGATGATTTGGACAGTGGGAGCAGTGCGCCACAATCAGTCACTCTTAGAGAAGACCGTGTTGTTGTTCCCGTACCATCCAATTTTTTTCATGCAGATAATGTGATTCCAGTTGTCCGTGATGAAAATGATTCGGTTCCGGATTTTGTTGATGCTACATCACATGTAGTAGATGAACAAGTTCATGATGATGTGACTGAAGAGGTTCCTTTGAGGAGATCTCAAAGATTACGCAAGTCTTCTATACCTGATGATTATCAGGTGTATCTTCAAGAGCATGAATATGATCTTAATGATGTTGATGATCCTACTAATTTTAAAGAGGCTATCTCTAGTTCTCATGGTTCTGATTGGTTAAATGCTATGCATGATGAGTTAGCTTCTATGGCCCATAATGGAGTTTGGGATCTTGTGGATTTGCCACTCGGTTGCAAACCAGTTGGGTGTAAATGGGTCTTCAAGACTAAGCGTAATCCAGATGGAAAAGTTGAGAGATATAAAGCCAGACTTGTAGCAAAAGGCTATAGTCAGAGAGATGGCATTGATTATAAAGAGACTTTCTCACCAGTCTCTACTAAGGATGCTTTTCGTGTGGTTATGGCTTTAGTAGCTCATTTTGATTTGGAGCTTCATCAAATGGATGTCAAAACAGCTTTTCTTAATGGAGATTTATTCGAGGAAGTGTATATGATTCAACCTGATGGTTTTGCTAAAAGAAACAATGAGCATTTGGTTTGCAAGTTAAAAAAGTCTATTTATGGGTTGAAACAAGCTTCTAGACAATGGTATTTGAAATTTGACCAGGTGGTCACTTCTTTTGGCTTTAAGGAAAACGCCTCGGATCAATGCATTTACTTGAAGAAAAATGAGAGTCATTTCATCACTCTTGTCTTATATGTTGATGATATTCTTCTTGCGAGTAGCAGTGTTGAACTTTTGGCTGAGACAAAGTCAATGTTAAATAGTCATTTTGATATGAAGGACCTTGGTGATGCCTCTGTTGTTCTGGGCATTCAAATTTTTCGTGACAGGTCACGTGGCATTCTTGGATTGTCTCAAAGAGGATATATTGATAAAGTCCTTAAACAGTTTAACATGCATTCTTGTTCTTCATGTGCAGTGCCTGTTCAAAAAGGTGATAAACTCTCTAAATCTCAATGTCCTAAAAATGATAATGATAGAATTGAAATGGAAAAAATTCCATATGCTTCCGCTGTTGGTAGTTTAATGTATGCTCAAGTTTGTACTCGTCCCGATATTGCTTTTGCTGTTAATGCTTTAGGAAGATACTTGAGCGACCCGGGTTTGGGTCATTGGAAAGCCGTTAAAAAGGTCTTTAGATATTTGCAGGGAACTAAGAATTACATGTTGACCTATAAGAAGTCTGATCAACTTCAAGTCATTGGTTATTCAGATTCTGATTTTGCTGGTTGCCCTGACGATCGAAAATCTACTTCTGGTTTTATATTTAAGTTGACAGAAGGAGCTATTTCTTGGAAGAGTGTTAAACAAACTCTTACAGCCTACTTCTACTATGGAGGCAGTAATATGTTGCTTGTTATGAAGCTACTTGTCAAGTCGTGTGGCTTAAAAATTTGGTTTCGACTTTCAAATTGTTGAAAGTATTTCTAGGCCACTTGTGATATATTGTGACAACACTGCTGCTGTACATTTTTCTCAAAATAACAGAAGTTCTACTCGCTCAAAGCATTTTGATATAAAATTTCTGTTTGTTAGAGAGAAAGTTTTGGATTTTCAAACTCGGATTGAACATACTGCTACAGAAAATATGTTAGCAGATCCACTGACTAAAGGCTTAGCTATTGGAGTTTTTCAAAATCATGTAACTCATATGGGTGTGGTTAAGTCTTTTGATGTACTGGGTTAGTGGGAGTTTGAGATTCATAATTTATATTATTATGGTTTTTTACGAGATGTAAATTTATCAATGACGTCATTTTTATTACATCTCTTTAATACATAAAATGTATGAACCATTATGGGATCACATATTTATTATGTTTGGTTTTTTATCTATTATTTATGAAATCTAAGCATATGGTAATCATCCCTATCTGGATATTATCTTTGTGATTCATGTTTATATTTCTTAATTGATATTTGTGTTTGTTTTGTAATTGATATGATTAATTTATTTATCAATGTTATCCAAGTGGGAGAATGTTGTATTTATATAATTTATTATATATATATATATATATATATATATATATATAAATTATTATTCTCTATTTGTTATGGATTAACATTAATCAATAAATTAATTATTTATAATTATCAATTATATTATACATCATCATTTTTTTTATAAATAATAATTTAATTTGGGTTTCGATGAACTGTTCGTGATGGGTTGGACTATTCGGAATCAGCTACTTTTTGAGAGATCCTTGGTCTCTACCGATAGGTGGATAAAAAACTGATACCCCATTAGTCAATTTTAAAAAGTGTGACAATAAAACCACTTTACACACTACGTTCAAGGTAACCTATCAGAAAGAGAACAACATTCTCTCATACGCATTCTATGGATTCTTCAACAATTCCAGGTACACAATTTAGAATATATTATATTTATGGTATCTTATATTATTATGTAAGCAAACAATATGTGATCATAAATTCTTATGTCACGCTGTTGAATAACGATGAGTATGGTCTTAAAGTCAAAAGTAACCCTAGAGATGAGTATGGTCCTAAAGTCAAAGGTATAGAAGATGGAGAGAAAGTGATAGTAGCGGAAGGGATAAGGATAAGATTTTTAAATCTTATAATAAATAGATTGAATTATTATTTTTTAAATATAAAGATATATAAAAATAGAAGATGATTTTAATAAACTAACATTTTAAAATGTTCACGAAGACATAGCCACTTTTCTTTTATAATATGAAGTTTAGTTAAACTTAAACATATTTTTCTAAATCTTATCAGATCTTATTCTATTAAGATTTATTTGTTGGAATAAAATGAGACTTATTTGTTAATATCAAATATCACATTTTAAAAATTTTATATTGAAAAAAAGAGACTAAATTACGATATAAATAAGTTTAAATTTTATTTTACAAATCAATTTTATAAAACTTAATTTTAATGTTAATTAAATGAAAATTTAACATATATTACACTGTGGTTTAATTTGACATTTTTATTAAAAACACATTTGAACCGAATATAAAAATACTTTCAAATTAGTTTGATTTATTCTAAAATAATATCTAAAACATACAAAAACAACCTTTTATATTGTGTTTGCATTGATTTTTTATGCGGTTTTTATGTTTTAATTCTAAACTTTTATTTTAATAAAAATGACTTTTTTTAATCTTTTAAACTAAATTATAATGAAAAATTCTACTACTTTAAACTAGAACATGTGGCACATAGTATGTTGAATAGTGTTTTCTTTTTCTAAAATTATGCTTCTATAGATATTAAAAAATAATTTAAATAATATTAACAAGTAAATTTATTTGCTAACAGAAATACCACGATACATTAGATAAACAAATTTGTTATTATTACCATTAAACTTCATCGTTACACCGTATCTTGTAAGTATCACATGTCTTGTATGTAAAAATTTGATATTTTGTTAATAAAAATAATCATCCAATAACTCTTTTGTTAATAAAAATAATCATCCAATAACTCTTTTGTTAATATAATAATAATAATAATAATAATAATAATAATAATAATAATAATATTAGATTTATATGTCTATTATTATAATATTAAATATGAGTTATAAAATAAATATATGTAAAATTTAGGTTGTGAATGGATCAGTGTTTTTCCAAAAATTCCAAGCGTAGAAAATCGATCATATTTTTTCTTCTTCGATTCAGGTCGGGAGAATGGAGAATAAAGATGGCAAGTAGAAACAAATCAATCACACGAAAAGACTTGGGAACACAAATTGGCTTAAAAGTCAAATCTCATCAGATATATGCAGAGAATTAATTCCACATGTCTACCCCACAAGAATGAAGGAAAAAAAAATCTGGCAATTTAGCCACACACAGGTGAAATATGAAGGATAGATAATTCATAGGTAACTATTATGTGGTAGAGCCACTGCGGACATGACAATCAGCACAACTAACAGAAGAACAGCAACTAAGGAGGCGACCACTGCGCCACTAATCTGCTGGCAAAAGTCACCAAATTGGTTGCAGATGGCAAGCCAATTCGAATCCTGGTTGCCATTGTGTGCTAGGTACACTATGGCAGCAGCTGCAGCACCACTGGAAGTAGATAGAGTCAGGAACACCTGTAATAAGAACATCTTTTTATGATCATCAAGATAAAAAACATGTCTCAAAATTCAAAAAACACCACAAAAATAATTATGAATCCCCCAAGATTCAATCTAGACCTGATAGCAAGGTGTCAAGCCTCTCTCTCTCTCTATATATATATATATAGGATATAATATCTTTATCATTGGACCAACCTTTATACAACTTTTATTTTATCAATTTATAGGCTTATAATATTGGGTGAAAATAAAAAGGATAGTAAAGAGAACCTACAGTGTCGAGGATAATGAGGAAAAGTCTTGGCCCTGCTGCATGGGGACGTATAATAGTGACTATAGAGAAAGGTATAGATAGTACTAGGTAACCACCAACAAATGCCATAGCAATCACAAAAAACCTGCATTATTTTTGTTACATGGAATTTGTGTCAATAATGTTAAAGAAGTTACATGTCAGCATCTTAATTAATGTTTTAGAAATGAATGAACGAAATAGAGTTTATCATTATAGAGAGAGTCACCGACTGGAAAGTAGAAAAACTATCATAGCTGGCCTCAAACTGAAAGAACTGAGTGAAGAAAGGGAGTGTCTGATCACTTGTTGCCATGGAGGCAGCAGCACCAAGAGAAGCTGCAATGGCACCTAACCTTAGAATGAAGTCCATTATGGCTACGCCTTTCTTCCACCCAGGCCTTAGGGGTGCACCTGGAACTTTTCTTCCATTGCCAATATTCTTGCTTGATTCTGAGACATCAATGGTTGACATTTTTGGCTTTGAAAGTGAGATGTTAGTGGTAGCTAATCAATGCTCCAAATAGCAGTGTTGGCTCTCTATATATCAATGTATATTACTTCAAACTTGTGATGCAATGGGTTTAATATATATACAGTGATAAAAATGAAGTCAAAGATAAAATTAATGAGTTTAGTGCAAGCAAGGGGAGTTGTTATCCCTTCAATTAAACCCACTTTTAGGTGGCACGTAACGTATCAAGGTTTGGGAGCCCGAAATATGGGTCAAACAGGATGATATGTAGTACTACATACTTAATCAACTTACTGAATTTTTTTGGTGCTTAATTTTTTATTATATACGATGTTAATGGAAACTATTGTCATGTGGTTTGACTATATCTCTTCCTTAAATATAATTTACTTGACATCAAATCACACATAGTTTTAATTAATATTAATAGATCCACTTGAATAGTAATTTGCATGACATCAAATCATACGTAGTTGTAATAATAGATCGACTTTTTCTGCACTATCATTTTTTAGTATGGTATTGTATCTGAGTTGTTGACCATCTTTCCCTAAATATAATAATTTGCATTTTTTTAAAGCGGAAAAATTACATTCACTTTCCTAAAAGTTAATGACACCCTTTAATTTTTAAAACAGAGACTTACATGTTTTTTTTTAATGTTCCTATATTGTATAAACAATCCATGTAGGATAACTCGTATGTGGAAATTTTCATACTAATAACAGTTATATAATATTGTAAGTGAGATTAGTTTTTGACTTAGTGAGATGGAAAGAAAAAAAGAAAAAAAATCACAATCTATTTTTAAAATAAATATTCATTTTCTAATACTATGAATAAAATAACAATCACACTCGTTATTTTATTTATATTTATACTTATATAAAAATCATATCTAAATCTAAATATATTAATAGATTTAATTATATACTTTATATTTATTTTGTTAAGAAAATATTTTAGAAAATAGAACTTATTTTCAAAAGACAATTAATAATTTAGTCACAATATAATTTTTAATATATAATAATAAAATAATTTAATTTATAAAAAAATATTTATTTTTTGCATTTTCAATTTTCATAATTTTTATTTAAAGTTTAGTGAGTATGATATTGTAAAGTACAATAAGGAAAGAAAGTGTAATTTTATTAAAATATAGAAGAGATGAGTATCATTTATTATAAACATAAGAGATATAAGTCTATTTAAAAATGATAAAGAATGTGAGTGTCATTTAAAAATAAATAAATTAAATACTATATTCGACATGAATCAAAGGATGTTCTTAGTTTAAAAATTAATTTTTTTACTCCGAAGTCCCAACCTAATAAGCTATTCAGCAACCTTAAAAATATCGTAGAAATTTTTATTTTGAAACAAAGTTATTTTATTTATCTATGATTTAAAATTTTAAAATAGTACTAATTCTAACTTTCCAATTATAATTTGTCTTAATTTTATTTTTAATTACAAATTTAAATTCCAATTTAGAAATAACTGCAAGAGAAATTCGAATAACTCACAATTATATAACACACAATTTATTATTAATCAAAGTTTATTAGCTCTCACCAATTTATTTATACTTAAGTTAAATTTATTAAATAGGAAATAAGACCGATATTATTTCGTGTGTTCTAGTTAAGTTTGGTTAAGTAAATAATTAATGAGCTGGTGTTTAGTTAAAATGGTAAAGAAAACATTACACGAGTTATAGGGAAATTTATTGATTAATAAGAGATACAAAGCTTATTTATATACTAGTTGACTTTTTAATTTTTATTAAAATGGCCCTTCGAGGGTGAATACAATAATTTAGCCTTTTTTATTCTTAAATTTTTGTTTGGGAGGCAAACTTTTTAACAATAAATTTTTTAATTCTCTTTGCAGTTTTTTTGTTTTATTACAAGGAGGTAGAAACCCCCAAAATTATTTATATATATTTTGTTTCAATAGCTCTTCAGGAATGAAAGAAAAAGGTAGAAGAGGCACAGAGAAATTGAATATGAAGTAGGCTCAAACTCCATGACAATGTTAACATTTGCCCACATCATTCAAATAATCAGGTTTCACATCATGAAAAAGGAAATTAAACCCACAACCAAAAGAAGAATACTTCAGGAATAATAAACCAAACATAACAGTGAAAACGAATGCAGGTATAACTTAGTCCCTACGTAATTGCATCTTAGTTAATTTTTAATGTCTTCTAAGGGCCAAAGCAGACATAACAACGAGCAACACAAGGATAACCACAGCAACGAAAGATGAAACCACAGCTCCACTGGTTTGCGCACAAAAATCTCCAAACTGGTTGCAGATGGCAAGCCAGTTCGAGTCTTGATTCCCGTTGTGTGCCAAGTAAACGATGGCAGCAGCTGAAGCACCACTAGCTGTGGCCAAAGTCAGAAACACCTGCAATTCATAAACATAAATTAAATGGTTTTTTTATTCAAATTAAAGATAATGTATTTTTTTACAGCTATTTTCATAATACCTAGATCTCTCACTGCTCTATCAACCTATCAACACTTGTGGCTCATGACAAAGTTGGTTTAATATTATTTGGCGAGGTCATGATTAATTGGATTGATGTACTTACACAATAATTAATTATTATAAGTAGTAAAATTTCCCATAATATATATGTTTCTCTGAATCTTAGTTTCTAGTAATAATTAGGTTTGGTTTAGGGATGGATCATAATTACTGTGTCTAGGATGATGAGGAAAAGCCTTGGTCCAACTGCATGAGGGCGTATGATGGCTACTACGGAGAAAGGTAGTGACAGGACCAGATAGCCAGCCACGAGTGCCATTATAATAACAAAAAACCTGCATTTTGGTCAGCATATATTAATTGGATTTAATCAGTTTGAATATAAATGCAAAAATGCATGTTAAGAAAATAGAGTTCTGAGGATTAATTACATACTGAAAAGTAGTGAAACTATCATAACTAGCTTCAAACTGAAAGAACTGAGTGAAGAAAGGGAGTGTTTGATCACTTGTTCCCATAGTGGCTGCAGCACCAAGAGAAGCTGCTATGGCACCTAACCTTAGAATGAAGTCCATTATAGCTACCCCTTTCTTCCACCCTCCTGGCCTTGGTGGTGCAACTAATACAGCTTTGCTTTTAGCAACATTGCTGGATTCTGGGACATCAATAGTGGTTGACATTTTTGAGTTTGAAACTTGAGAGAAGCCGGTGTTCTAGGAATGTATGTGACTGAAATTTGAACTACAAGACTCAGTGATGCAAATGGGTTGATGGTAGTAGCTTATATAGAGATTGAATGGTCAACGTTCAGATATAGATGAAGGCAAGAGGAGTTGTTATGAACACCCTTTCCACTAATTCATAAGTGGAGATAGGTTTGAGAGAAATAATACTCTTTTATTGGTCATATATGGATTTGTTAAATCGAATCTGGTCAGATGTTTTGTTTCTTCACACTTTGCATCAAAGTATATAATTGTTGTTTTAATTGCGACAAAGAAAAAGCTATGAAATAACAAGTTTATTAGTGTTATATTGGAATGGATAAAATTTAGGGTTTGATTAAATATAGTTTTAATAGCAGAAAACGTGGAAAATATTCACTACAAGAAAAAACGTTATTAGCGACCGAAAAATTCGGTCGTTAATGGCCAAAATTCGGTCGCTATTCTGTTAGCGACCGAAATGGTTGGTCGCAAAAGGGCAAGTCGCTAATTTGTTAGCGACCGATTTACATTTCGGTCGCTAAATAGCGACCGATGAGGTGGTCGCTAAAGTGGTCGCTAAATAATTTGGTCACTTATTCATTGAAGACCAAAATAGCGACTGAAATTAATATAATAAATCGGTCGCTATATCCGTGGTAAAGTTTTAAAAAATAGCGACCGATATATTCGGTCGCTAATATATTAATACAATTATTTAAATAAAAATTAAAATCGGTCGCTAATATATTAATTGAATTATTTAACTAATAATTTAAATCGGTCGCTAAATTTGAATTGTATATTATAATAAATTTGTAGCGACCAAAAATTCGATCGCTAATCTAACCAAATCTGAAAATTTTCGTTTAAAATTTTGTATATCCAATTTGACAAAATTTGTACCTGCTTAATTCATCCAAACATAACACAAATGAAAACTTAAGAACTAAAGTCAAATTATTCAAATCATAAAATTTGTACCTGCTTAATTCATCCAAACATAACACAAATGAAAACTTAAGAACTAAAGTCAAATTTTGTATATGCAATTTTACAAAATTTGTACCTGCTTAATTCATCCAAACATAACACAAATGAAACTTAAGAACTTAACAACTAATCAAGATTCAAAGTCTTAATATCATAAAATTGAAAATTAGTCCTCTGGTATATTGTCGATGTCATGTTGACTTGTAGTAGGATGACTATTCATTTAAATATGTTGTAAAATAAGCTTCATCTGCTCATCTTGTTGGCGTTGGTTGTTCCTCAACTCCTGCATCTCTTCTTCAAGTGTCTTCTCCTTATTATGCTTTGCCACCAATTCAGCATTTAACTTTTCAATAGTCTCACACATTTGTTCAATTTGATGAAGTACTGGAGTTTGAGTAATAGAAGATTGAGAACCCGATGTAGTAGTGAACTTTTTGCTCAATGTACCAAGTCCATACACATTTCCTTTTTATTTTCACCTCCAACAACTCGAAATGTATATTTGATTATCATCAACAGAGACAATAGAAGACTCTTGTGAAGATGAGCCTTCACGCAAGTTATGTTGATGGACTTCTTCTCTGCGCTGCATATATTGTTCCTAAAAATGAAGTGAAATATAATTATTATGAAGAAAACATATATTGAATAATAAACTATAACTTAGATGTTAAACATACAGCAAGATAACGAGTTTTTTCATTGACCCATTGTCCAGTCTTTAATTTCTTTGTCCTCTCAACAACCTCCCAAACGGTTGGTTCCCGTTGAAACTCCGTAGTCTACACATTAAAATGAGACAAAATTCATTACCTAAAGTGTAATATATTGTATTAAATTACTTATATAAAAATATAATAAACTTACCATCTTCTCAAAGTGAGTTGCAGTAGATATGGAACCCCCACAGTAAGCTCGAGGCACCCTTATCAACAGCTCGATTAGCCTTGGCAATGGCACTCTTGTTTTGGAAATCTGGAGAACTCCAATGTAAGTCCAAAGATGCTCGAACAACTGGCGGTATCCAGATTCCCATATCCTTACCATTCCTAACTTTGTTCATTGAGTTTTTTAAAATTCGAGAACCTTTCTTATCAAAAACAGATCTTATGGCTTGCTCTTGTTCCACATCCCATATATACTCTTTCGCATAAATAAAATACACAACAAACATTTAATTTATAAGAATGAAATGACATTGTTTAATGTAACTATAATTCAAATTAACTTGAACTCTCCAAACCATCTATCTCGAAGCTCAAGTGAAACCTTTCTCCAAGTGGGACTTGGTTCATCAAATTTTTGTTTGATGATTCTAGAGATTATAGCAGGAGGACCATTTCTCGGTATAAACCTGTGTTGAAACATATTGTGGGATTGATATTATTAAGAAATTTCATATTAAAGAATTATAATTAAATTAAAACATACTTACTCTCCTTTGTCTGCTTGTAACCATGACCTTTGATCAACCATATTTCCAGACTCAACCTCAGTTGCGATCGACCCAGTACCTGTGTAGGTTGACCAAATGTCGCCTCGTAGAGAAGGTAGTAGGAATTGTTTCTCCTACTATAGCTACAGGAGATTCCTGCTGAGTTGAGGGAGGTGTGCGTTCTACAAACATAGGATTAGTAGACTCCATGGATCTTGGTCGAACAGAACTAGGAGAGTTAGGGCTGGGTGAACCTCTATCATCAACAAGTACACCTCGACCACCACGATGAGGTGGTTTACGACCACCACGATGAGGTGGTCTACGACCACCACTTCTACCCCTTTGTGGCATCTACAAGCGGATCTTATTACATATGTAACATGCATAAAATTAAACAATTGAAACAATGAATTACCTGATTGTGTTTTCTACACCCAAACGTGTCAATTAGCTTACCACTCATTCACTGCAAATTAGGCATGAATCCCTCTTGATAAAGATCTCATGCAACTTGATCAACAAACTTGAAAACTTTACACTTACATTTAACACAAGGACATCTTAACATTTCACCTTGTTCTTGAAACATAGGTTGAGCAATAACATATTGTATGAAATTATACACTCCTTCTCTAAATTCATCTGTTAGATGTTTGTTACCATCCAATCTTTGATACATCCACATTCTACCAACGGGGATCTCCATTCTTGCAAACTAACTACAACAATCAGCATAAGTGAAACTGCATTATTCACTTTATGTGATGCACTACTTATGTTTTTCTATTCTTGCAAATTAACTACAACAATCAGCATAAGTGAAACTGCATTATTCACTTTATGTGATGCACTACTTATGTTTTTCTATTCTTGCAAATTAACTACAACAATCAGCATAAGTGAAACTGCATTATTCACTTCATGTGATGTAGTACTTACGTTTTTCTAATACATTTTTTCCAAGGTATTTATCCACTACTTATGCAGTACGTATGATACAGACCACCAAATAATTGTATAAGTAAACCCAATAATTATGAAATTTCTTTTCACTAAGATCCAACAAATAATTAAAACAAATTACAAATGGTTAACCTGAGGGCGTACAGTCTCAACAAGTTCCCAAATTGGTCTGTCAAGCACCACCAAATCCGCAAGAAGAGGGATCGAAGAACCTATCTACTTCACAAATCCACCTACAACAAACGATAAAGAAATTCTGTCAAAATTATCTCTCCTATATTATTCACAATGCAAGAGAATAATAGTATATACATTCAAACAAGCCAAACCTTGGTTGAGGGTTTCGAGGCTGCGTGAGGAGGTTAAGAACGAGAGGTGTGGCGCGGTGGCTCACGTGGTGGCGTCCGGCTGACGAGGAGCTTTGGTGGAGGTTGGATTAGGGTGAGGGCTGACTTGGGGGAGCAAGTGAGGGGGCTAGGGCTCGCCGGGAGTGAGGAGGAGATACTGGCCAAGGTTAAGAGGAATGGGTGAGTGAGGCGCGAGAGTTAGGGTTATTTGGGGATAAGTGGCGCGAGATACGAAAGTGAAAAATGTGGTAGTATATGATAGCGGTTAAATCTTAACCGCTATTATAATATCACTTCTAATAGCGGTTAAATCTTAACCGCTATTATATAACACTTCTAATAGCGGTTAAATCTTAACCGCTATTATATATTTTCAAATATGATCGATCATTTGAAAATGTAATCGATCATAATCAAAAAATGTGGATGTCGCTCGAGCGAGATCAGTGTCGCTCAAGCGAAAAACAACCCGAGAATGCCAATTTTGTGCAGGTGGCGTCGCTCGAGTGATGTTATTTTCGCTTGAGCAAATGTTGACCTGCTAACCGTCGATCAAAGTTAGCCGGATAATGTAACATGGGTGACCTCATGTTTGAATCGGATGTCGCTCGAGCGAGTATAGTGTCGCTCAAGCGAAATACAACCCGAGACTTCACAGTCTTAAAATCTGGTTGTATATGATAGCGGTTCCACTGGAACCGCTATTAAAATGACACTTCTAATAGCGGTTAACCCTCAACCACTATCTAAAATATACTTTAGATAGCGGTTAACGTGGAACCGCTTATTATATCTTCTCAATTATGATCGATCATTTCTAATTATAATCGATCATAATGAAAACTTACATTAACTATTTTTTTGAATATTATGTTTTTAAATTTGCTATTAGAGAAAACCTTTTAGAATTCAAAATGTTAAATACTTTTAAATATTAAAATTAACTTTATCAAAAATTAGAAAAAAAATTAATCCAAAAGAGTTCAAAAATGTATTATAATATTGTCAATTTTGAGTTTAATTATATTGTTCATTCTCAAAGTAGAAAAATATATTGTAATTATTTTAATTTAATAAAATATAATTTAAATTTTTAATACTAAAATTAAAAGATTAAATAATAATAAATTTAATTCTTTAAATTCAGTAGTTAGAAACTAAAATTATAGTTTCTCTGCTTTTAAATAATTAAAATAAATATTTAAAAATAAAAATCAAAACTAGTATTATCTTAAATTTATTAAAAGTGTAATTAAATATCTATTTTCTTAATTTTATTTGTTTCAAACTTCTCAATTATACATTTTTGTAAGTTCTATCATTATATTATCATCCTCATCTCCTCCCATGTTCTACTTTATCTTTACAATAGTCAATATTTTTAAATAATTAATATTTTTAATTATAATTTTTTAGTATATATTTCAGAAATTAATCAATTCTAATCTATTATTTGAAAAACTAATCAATTCTAATCAATAATTTAGAAAACTAATCGATTATAATTAATTATTTGAAAAAATTATCAAATATGATCGATCATTTTGAAAATCTAATCGATCAGAATCAAAAAATCTGGTTGTATATGATAGCGGCTCCACCTGAACCGCTATTAAAAGGACACTTCTAATAGCGGTTAACCCTTAACCGCTATCTAAAATATACTTTAGATAGCTGTTAACGTGGAACCGCTATTATATCTTCTCAATTATGATCAATCATTTCTAATTATAATCGATCATACTGAAAACTTACATTAACTATTTTTTTGAATATTATGTTTTTAAATTTGCTATTAGAGAAAATCTTTCAGAATTCAAAATGTTAAATACTTTTAAATATTAAAATTAACTTTATCAAAAATTAGGAAAAAAAATTAATCCAAAAGAGTTCAAAAATATATTATAATATTGTCAATTTTGAGTTTAATTATATTGTTCATTCTCAAAGTAGAAAAATATATTGTAATTATTTTAATTTAATAAAATATAATTTAAATTTTTAATACTAAAATTAAAAGATTAAATAAATTTAATTCTTTAAATTCAGTATTTAGAAACTAATATTATAGTTTCTCTGTTTTAAATAATTAAAATAAATATTTAAAAATAAAAATCAAAACTAGTATAATCTTAAATTTATTAAAAGTGTAATTAAATCTCTATTTTCTTAATTTTATTTGTTTCAAACTTCTCAATTCTACATTTTTGTAAGTTCTATCATTATATTATCATCATCATCTCCTCCCATGTTCTACTTTATCTTTACAATAGTCAATATTCTTAAATAATTTATATTTTTAATTATAATTTTTTAGTATATATTTCAGAAATTAATCAATTCTAATATATTATTTGAAAAACTAATCAATTCTAATCAATAATTTAGAAAATTAATCGATTATAATTAATTATTTGAAAAAATTATCAAATATGATCGATCATTTCGAAAATCTAATCGATCATAATAAAAAAATCTGGTTGTATATGATAGGGGTTCCACTTGGAACCGCTATTATATGTTCACTTTTAAGAGCGGTGAAAATATTAACCGCTCTTAAAAGTGACAAATATTTTATTTATAGACACATTTTTGCATCAGATATCGCTCGAGCGAGACCAATGTCGCTCAAGCGAAATACAACCCGAGAATGCCAATTTTGTGCAGGTGGCGTCGCTCGAGCGATGTTACTTTCGCTTGAGCGAATGTTGACCTGCGTAAACGTCGATCAAAGTTAGCTCGGATAATGTAACTTGGGTGCCTCATGTTTGAATCGGATGTCGCTCGAGAGAGAATAGTGTCGCTCAAGCGAAATACAACCCGAGAATGCCAATTTTGTGCAGGTGGCGTCGCTCGAGCGATGTTACTTTCGCTTGAGCGAATGTTGACCTGCGTAAACGTCGATCAAAGTTAGCCGGATAATGTAACCTGGGTGCCTCATGTTTGAATCGGATGTCGCTCGAGCGAGAATAGTGTCGCTCAAGCGAAATACAACCCGAGAATGCCAATTTTGTGCAGGTGGCGTCGCTCGAGCGATGTTATTTTTGCTTGAGCGATATTGCAAAAATCAGATATAATCATGTATTATTTTCTCATTAGCGACCGATTTTAATTCGGTCGCTATTTCAATTTGTAATTCGGTCGCTAAATCAGTCGCTAAATGATTTTTTTATTTATGTATGAAATAGCCACCGATTTAGCGACTGAAAATTTGCGACGCACAAAAATTGGTCGCTATTTCAGTCGCTAAATAAAAAAGTGAAAACCAAATCATATTTTGGTCGTTAAATCGATCACTAATTGCGACCGAATTAAAGTGGTCGCTAAATCGGTCGTTAATTACGACGGAATTAAAGTGGTCGCTAAATCGGTCTCTAAATACGACTAAAATTAAATTGGTCGCTAAATCGGTCGCTAATTGCGACCGAAAAAATTCGGTCGCTAATTTCGGTGGCTAAATATGTTTTTTCTTGTAGTGATTCATCTTCCCTATTACTAACACCATTAAGTGAAAGATTTACAATTTTACATAAAATGGGAAATCAGAATGAAATATTATTTTTTCAGAACTAAAAGCTACCATTTCTTATTTTTCAGGAATTAAAAATGTATTTAATTAAATAATTTAGACCAAATTATCAAAATTATTTTTATCGCAAATTTTTGTTTTTATCAATAATTTTTCATCTACAAAAATATTTAAATTAAAATTATTAAAAAAATTTCTTAAAATTGTATTTTAAAATATAATATCTGAAATAGTTTTTAAAATTTAAAAATAAAACTAAGTCAAACATGTTTTAAATATTTAAAATATTATACCTATAATTAGAAGTTTGACTAAAATACCTTTTATGAAATTGATTGGTCAATCATTTTCCTTTTTAAGTTATATTGGAGTTGTTTAATATTACATATATTTTCTATATTCTTTTACAACATATGTACTGATATCAAATTTTATATAAATACTACTCAAATCTTTTAACAATAATAAATTTTTCCTAACGTCCATATTTTTATTATACTAATTAATATAATTAAAAAATATATATAAAATGATTTTGAAAGAATTATGTGAAGAAAGAAAAAGATGTAATATTATGAAAGAACTACGTGTACCTCTGAATTATTCTGCTATTATTATTATTTTTGAGTGAGTTATAGGGTTATTTTTAAGTAAAAAAAAGTTGTACTATTACATTTAACTAAAGAAGGTGTTACCAATTTGTATTAATAAATAATAAAATTAATAAAATAGTTCAATATAAAAAATGAAAAAATAAATAAATTGTAGAAGCGTATTTCCTTTATATAGTGGTTTATATCACAATACTTAATTTTATGCAAGAATTAAGTAATACACAAGCTTAACTTTAATATTGGTGAATGTGGTTTTATACACAATGATAATTTCAATGTTAATGTGATAATACTAATTACAGTTAGACTATTATAATAACATTTAAAGATCAAAATTACACAACTTTTTTTATTTAAAAAACAAACAAACTAATAACTGTTTTGTGATGATTTTCTTTTATCAATCAAAACATTGTTAATCCGGTCATTTCAATAATTTAAAAAAAATACAAGAGATTTAGTAAATTTATAATATATAATTGAATAAAAATTTTCATTTTTTAAAACAATTTTGTAAAATTAAATTAAATATTTTTTCATTATATCAAAATCTATTTTAATTAAATTTAGAAATCTATCAGTGTAATGGTCATCAAAAACGTTATAAAACACTGTTTGATTCATGCTCTCAAAATGGCAAAGTGAAAAAAAAAGTGTTAAAACATACATAAAGATATAATAAAATGATAATATATAATTAAAATACAAATATCAATTTATAAATTAATTTTATAGAATTAACCTAAATACCTCTCTTATTCTAATTTTCAGATCTGCATCACAAGAAAAAATGGAACAGGATATTTTAATAGAGAAAAATACTGCATAGAGAAAATTAAGTGGAGAATAAGAAGGGGAAAGTAAAACACAGTGACTCAAACTTTAAACGTATATTTATCATAATGATCAAATTTATAGAAGTAATCAATTTGTCACATCATTAGTTCAAGAAAAGTAAAACCTCACAAGCCGAGGGAATTAAGACTTAGGAAACAGAGTAAACATGCACAATATAATGTATATAATTGTAAACATTCATACAACTTAAGCCCCCAGAATTAGATTTTCAAGGCTTCCCAATAGCCAAAGCAGACATGACAATCAACAACACAAAGACAACAACAGCAACGAAGGATGAGACAACTGCTGAACTGGTCTGTGCACAAAAGTCTCCAAACTGGTTGCATATGGCTAACCAGTTCGTGTCCTGATCACCATTGTGTGCCAAGTAAACTATGGCAGCAGCTGAAGCAGCACTAGCAGTGGCTAGAGTGAGAAACACCTGAAATTTCACCAACACAAGTCTATAACTCAATATTATGCTAGTGTTAATAGCAGTACAATACATCATACTTAAACAATCTTGTTATTATAACAGCATTAAAAAAAAAAAATGTCTCACAACTTCTCCAGAAGTTGATATTTTAGTGTATGCGAGAAGGCTTCAGTTGATATAGAACACTGAATTTATCAAGATTTTAAAGAACTTACAGTGTCCAAGATAATGAGGAAAAGCCTTGGTCCAACTGCATGGGGGCGAATGATGGCAACAACAGAGAAAGGAAGGGATAGCACCAGGTAGCCTCCCACTAAAGCCATTGTAATAACAAAAAACCTGCATTTTGTTAAGCATTGGATGAAATCCTCCTTTCAGTGAATTAACATAGCTGTCATGGAAAGGCAAAGAAAATAGAGTTCTGAGGATTAATTACATACTGAAAAGTAGTGAAACTATCATAACTAGCTTCAAACTGAAAGAACTGAGTGAAGAAAGGGAGTGTTTGATCACTTGTTCCCATAGTGGCAGCAGCACCAAGAGCAGCTGCTATGGCACCTAGCCTTAGAATGAAATCCATTATGGCTACCCCTTTTTTCCATCCTCCTGGCCTTGGTGGTGCAACTGCCACAGCTTTTCCTTTAGCAACTTTACTTGATTCTGGGATATCAATGGTGGTTGACATTTTTTACTTTGATGGAACAAAAGAAGCTTAGTTTATGTTGTAAGGATACAATAGAGAGAGAGAGAGAAGATGATGCATGTTGATGATTGAAACTAACATATATAGAGGGAGAAATTAAGAGTGGTAGATGTTAGGATAAGTGGGATGATGCATGGATACCAACTAAAGAACTTAGAAGTTGTTATGAAATTTTTTTCCCTCTTAACAATGTCACCTTTTAGTACCGAAGCAAGTAGAGAGAGGGAAAAATTATATTTAATCTTCACTTTTTGTGGTTGATTAGTTTGTTTTTGGATTAAAGAGTTAATAACAAGTACAAAGTTTAGTAAATAATTATAAAAAGAGCATCAACAATATTGAATGTCACATTATGTATTTAAAAATACCACAACCTACACATTTCTTAATGAATATTTATAGAAAAAACAAAATAAAACTGAGAAGATGGAAGGGAAATTTACACTAAAATCTGCTTATAATGATCATTAATGTGTCTTTTATAAGTACTAAACTTTCCACCAAGGAATAAAAACTATGGTTTATCTAGTATTTTTTTTTCATTCACACACATAAAAATTTATAAAATAATAAATAATTAAGATTAAAAAAAATTAATTAATTAATAAATTAATAAAATAATGAACATGACTTACTTATTTTTTCCGCTCATACAGAAAAATATAAATAAGAAATATAATTTTTTTTATCTTTCTATACATTTTTATTTTCTCTCTAACTGTTTTTTCTTTCTCTTTTTTATTTTATAATAATAATTATTATTTTTTTACTGTTTATTTTCTAAATGTTCTATAGATTTATAAGAAAAATAATAATGATAATAGCATGAGTAGATAAATATATTTTGTTATAATGTTACAAGTGAATACAATTCTTTTTTATTGTGATATTTTATTTAATTTATTTTATTATTATATTGTTTTGTTTAAATTTTCATAATGTTTATCTTTAAATATAATATACATATATATATATATATATATATATATATATATATATATATATATATATATATAACTATGAGTACTGAAAATTATTGAAGAGAGAAAATGAATAAGTAGATTAATAAATAGACAATAATTAAGAAAAAAAGAATAAATAGATTAATAAAATAAAAATAACTAATACTAGTTACAAAATACAAGAATCATATCACATGAAAATGAAGGAAATGGTGAATTTTATTTCCGCGTAAGTTGGTGTGGACCAACCAACTGTCCTGGATCAGCTAGTCCTGATCCTCCAACCTTGGGTCTATTGGTTTGAATTTTGTTTTTATTTATAAAACTTCCATTTCTTAGAGTTTACATTTTTTTTCCCTTTCTAATCCGAAAATTTTAAATATATTTTTTAAGTTAAAGATTAAAAATTTTAAAATATATAAAATTTTATATTTTAATTTTTAGTTTATGAATTCCAAAAAGTTTAAGTCCAAAACTGTTATAAAAAATTTCTGGATCGAGGAATTCAAAATCTTTTCAAAGAGAAGGATTTGATGATTAAGGAAAAAAATAAAATAAAAATGCCTTTTATAAAATAATCCGTTAAATTTTTAAATTCACTTTAATTACATTGATTTTTTCCCCTCTCTTGATTTCATTTAGTTTTTTTTATCATATATATGTATTATTTTATATAAACAAAATAATTTTATGTAATTTTAAATAAAAGTAATATTTTTAAATAATAATACTAATGATAATAATTTTAAATAATATAAATATTATTATGATTATTTATAATTAAATAAATTAATTTATTCATATAAAATAATAAATGCATGGATAAAAGAAAAAAAATGACCTTATGAGCTATTTGACATAAAAAAAATAATAATAATCACAAATTCATATGCACCCAGCCATCCGAGAATTGGTTGCAACATTCTACCGGAAGCCAATTTAATTTTTTTTAACTGTGATCATTCAATCTTGAAATTTTGGGATTAATTAATTTGAAGTTTTTTTTTATAAAATATCGAATCTACCAATTCAAAACTTGGAAAATATAACTTTTTTATATATTATTGATTGTTTAATTTAAAATTCTTTCAGAATCCTTAATTTATGACATTCTAATTTTTTTTTTAAATTATCAATTCTATTAAATATGAAAAAAATAATATTATCTTTTATAATAAGCATGAGGTATTATGAGTTATGCATACCAATTCGTCTCACCTCATAAACCCTTAGATATACATATTTCCTATATGATCAACATACCTCTCTTTCCCTTTATATATATATATTCAATGCAAAATTTTACATACGTTTATTCATTCTTTATAATTAACCCATTACATTAATATCAAAATTTTTTAAGAGACTAATACTTAACTAGTATTTTAAGATCCTTGCTACCAGGACCCAGGGGTATTGTGGAATTTTTTTGGGTTAATTACAGGAAATTATGAAAAATTGTGCGTTTAATAATTTAATGAGAACATATTGCCAACTATAAGATGAAGGCAACCATTTTAACGAATCACATAAGTAGTGATCAATTCTGAGGAAGGATAAAATTATGCCCACATCTCGTCACATAGTAGCAGTAATCTTATCATAATAACTAACACTTATGAACTTAGTACTAGATCAAGAGCTAGCGAAGTTGCATCTGATATTGTTTCCTCTGTAGTTAACTCTGGCACTGATATTTAGCACCGCAGAATTAAATTTTCATATTCCTATCTTAATCAACAGATTTTTGTTATGGAATGCTACCACAGAATTCTTAAGATATCCATTATCCATCTCTGCTTTCCACATGAAAGCCTATTACATTCACACAGGTACTGCATCATTCTCTGACGAACAATACCATGCTAGAAAAGATATCCAGACCCCCAAAAAGAAGTAAATAAATATTACACAATTTACACTCTCAACTGGCTATTGAAATTAGGGGTGGGGATGAATGTGTTACAGATATTGAAGGATGCCATTTTATAGCAGCATAGCTTCTGAGAGTATCCACAGCAGTTGAGGACACTGATTTGGTAACTGACATTTCTTTCCCTGATAAAAATGTCATTCCATGAAAATTTAACCTTCTGATGCTGTAGTAGCCGCATGCCTGTTCCCGTAGCAACCACAATATACATCATGCCGATTGGCAACCTAATACAGCACCTATTGTAAAACAGCTGAGAATCCTTGAATCACAGTGGCAGACTCCCAGGTGAAACTCAACTTGAACCCACCACCATCCCTTGATTACTATTTTGATTCAATGGCCTACCATTTTCTTCGCAACTGTGAACATTAGGCTTCTGTGGTTGCGTGGCATTGAATCCATTTGCCATGACAGATCCAGGGCTTCCCTCACTTGAGTTTATGCTCCTTGTTGGCTCACAGTTATTATTGGGTGGGTCACTAGTAGAAGCAGGTTGCTGCAACAGTTCCATGCGTCTCAAAGCCGGAACATCTCCTTTACAATATCTGCGCCACATTTGCCTATATGCTGACTCTAGTCCATGGATAAATTTTGCTCCATCACAAAGAGGGGACTTGGACATGAGCTCTCGCAGGCTCATTCTCAAAATTTGTAGTGCCGAAACATCGGAGGCCAACTTCAGAGCAAATTTTACATATTCATCTTCATTTTTGGCAATCAAATGGCCCAGACCTGAATTATTAAACGTAAGATATTTACCAGTTTCAATGGCAAAGCCAAAGATGCAAGTGAACACAAGTCCGTTTAAGATAATGGCCTCCCAAGAAAAAAAGTATTAAACAGATGAAAGAGCAGAATTATACACGCACCAAGTGAACACAAGTCCGTTACAGACAATAGAAAGATATGCTTAATTACACAATTCAGTTCATCCAATATTGATAGTCACAAGCTGCACAACTTATAACTCTGACTTTACAACAACTGACTATTTGTAAAATAATTGTTAACTAATATCAATTTCTAATAAACATAAATGCTCTATTTAAATGAAAACAAAACAGCGACAGCCAAGATAAAATAATAGGTTGCAAGAAATGTACTGCTAGTTTGACAAGTACTGTTTTGGCTTGTTTAAAACTATTCCAAAATTTCATAATTCACAAGGTAGCACATAAAACGACTAATTCAGTGGAAAATACTGCAGTTTCTTACTGTTAGATATGATTAGATATTAGTTGATATTGTTTGATATTGTTGAGATATTGTTAGATATTGTTAATCACAATATCAAATAATATCTTTTTATTTACCCTATTTGTATTCTGTTACTCTTTTGAGGAGTACCTTTCTTTATTATAAATACACTGCCCTATGTGTGGTAAATACATAAGGGAAATTAACCCTATATTCAACATGGTATCAGAGCCAGGTTAACATCTTTCCGGTTATTGTCATGGACCAAAAGTTGTCCTTTAGTTGGGTCAAAAGTACCATTTGCCTGATCCGGCAGGCTTCGTTGGAGGAGGTGTGTTGAAAGTCCTACATCGCCTACCTCATGTCATTTGGTATGATTTAAATACATGTTAGGCTACTCCACATATTGCCAATTGGTTTTATGTTGGAACCTTAACATGGTAACAGGGGTATGTTGATCATCTTACTACCAAGGTAGATGATGTTCCTTCCAATGATCGTGTCCGTTGGAAGAAAGTTGATGCTCATATATGTATGGTTCTCAAGAATACCATCCAATCTTCTTTAAAACAAATTTTTCGATCGTATGGCACATGTTATGACGTTTGGGAACAAGCCAAATTATTATACACCAATGACACTCAACGTCTTTATGGTGTTTGTTACAATCTTCTTGATGTTATTGCTCCTCGAGATAAGGATCCTGCGGCGGATTATGTGGGTAAGATCCATGCTCTTCTCCATGAATTTAATGAGTTATTACCCCTCGCCTTGACTCCTGCCCAAGAATTAGAACAACGATCAAAGTTTTTCATGGTTTTGATGTTACACGGACTTGCTCGATAAATATGCCCTCGTTCGTGACCGCATTTTGGGTTCCCCTGTTACACCCAGCTTTACCGCTACCAGTTCCTCCCTTTTGCGGGTGCCATGTAAACCTCTCAATATTCCCCCTGTAGTTTCTAATGATTCATCTGCCTTGGCCTCTCACCGTGATGATCGTAATCGCTCTCACAAGCCAGGCAAAGGGCGTGTCAAGTGTGACCATTGTGGCAAACTAGGCCACAAAATTGACAAATGTTATGCTTTACATGGTTATCCTCGCCGATCTCGCTGCAGTTGCTCGGACCGATTCTTCCGCACAATCCTCTCGCTGTGGATCCTCCTTCGTTTGTACCTTCGGACAAATCTGCTATCTTCAATGATTTTCTTCAATGGTATGAGGATCGAAAGCCCTCCAGTTCCACTACTTCGTTGCCCACACAGGTACATCTTTTGCTCGGTCCGACTCACTCTTCTTCTATTGGCCCTTGGGTTCTTGACTCAGGCGCCACCGATCACATCACTCGGTAACAAATCCTTATTTTCCTCTTTCACTTCTTCTCATAATTTACCCTCTGTTACAATGGCTAATGGGTCTACAACTTTAGCTCATGGTGTTGGAACGGTTACTCTTTTCCCTCGTTGTCCATTGATAATGTTTTGTATGTACCCGGTCCCCCTTTAACTTATTATCCATTAGCCGTCTAACTCGATCTCTTGATTGTGTTATCTCTTTTACCAAAACTTCGTTTCCCTACAGGACCGGAGCTCGCAAAGAGTGATTGGCACCGGATGTGAGTCACATGGACTTTATTATCTTCAACCTTCTCCACATGTTGGCACAGTTATGGAGTCTCCTTCTCTCCTTCATGCTCGGCTTGGTCACCCCAGTCTGCGCAAATTACAGGCAACTTGTTCCCAGCTTATCCCAGTTGTCCAATTTGGTGTGAGAGTCCTGTCAGTTAGGCAAACATAGTCGTACTTCCTTTTCTCGTAGTGTTTCCCAGCGTGCTTCATCCCCCTTTGCCTTAGTTCACTCTAACATTTGGGGACCCAGTCGTGTTAAGTCTAATTTAGGTTTTCAATATTTTGTTACTTTTATTGATGATTTCTCTCGTTGTACTTGGTTATTTTTAATGAAAAATCATTCTGAGTTGTTTTCTATATTCCAAAACTTTTATCATGAAATTAAAAATCAATTTGGTGTCTCTATTCAAACTTTTCGAAGTGATAATGGCCGTGAATATCTTTCAAACTCGTTTAAACAATTTATGGCTTCTCATGGCATTCTTCATCAAACTTCCTGTGCTTATACCCCTCAACAAAATGGGGTGGCTGAGCGCAAGAATAGACACCTTATTGAAACAACCCGTACTCTTTTAATTCATGGTGAGGTTCCTCAACATTTTTGGGGTGATGCTGTTCTTACTGCCTGTTATCTTATTAATCGTATGCCCTCTTCGGTTTTAGATAACAAAATTCCCCATTCTATTTTATTTCCTCATGACACTCTCCATCCTTTACCTCTGAAGGTTTTTGGGTCTACCTCGTTTTGTCCACAATTTTGATCCTGGTCATGATAAGTTATCTCCTCGATCACACAAATGTGTTTTCTTAGGATTTACTCGATCCCAAAAAGGATACAAGTGTTTTTCTCCTTCTCTTAATCGCTATTTTGTGTCTGCCGATGTCACCTTCAATGAGTGTTCCTTTTACTTTAAGGACCCTTCCCTACCCGCTGAGTCTCCATCTCGCTACAGCTTCCCATTCCCTGTTCTCATTGATCCCTATGTCGAGGACCATCCACCATTAGCCCCTCCTCCTCCACCACCCCTTCAGGTTTATAGTCGCAGACCTCGCCCACAACGAGACGCCACATGACTCACTCCCAGTGCCAAATACTCGCCTCCTCCGGCTTCGTCCACGTAGTCTGACCTTCCTATTGCCCTTCATAAAGGTACGCGTTCTACTCGTAATCCTTCTCCACATTATACTCGCTTTAAGTTATCATCGAATTTCTTCACCATTTTATACCTGTCTCTCGACTATTTCTTCTGTGTCTATTCCTAAATCGTCTCGAAGCCTTAGCCCACCCTGGTTGGCGTCAGGCCATGCTAGATGAACTCGGTGCTCTTCAGACTAGTAGAACCTGGACGCTTGTCCCATTACCATCTGAAAAATCTGTTGTTGGTTGCAGGTGGGTCTTCGCTATCAAGGTTGGTCCTGATGGTACTATTGATTGCCTCAAAGCTCGCCTTGTAGCCAAAGGCTATACCCAAATTTTTGGGTTGGATTATGGTGATACTTTCTCTCCGAGTGGCAAAGATGGCTTCGTTCGTTTATTCATTGCCATGGTCGCTATTCAACAATGGCCTCTTTATCAACTCGGATGTCAAAAATGCTTTCTTGAATGGCGATTTGCAAGAAGAGATTTATATGGAGCAACCTCCCGGATTTGTTGCTCAGGGGGAGTCTTCTGGATTGGTATGTCGTCTTCGCAAATCTTTATATGGCCTAAAACAGTCTCCTAGGGCCTGGTTTGGAAAATTTAGCAGCGTTGTTCAACAATTTGGCATGACTAGAAGTGAGGCAGACCACTCAGTCTTTTACCGTCACTCGAATGTTGGATGTATCTATTTAATAGTGTATGTCGATGACATTGTTCTTACAGATAGTGACCATCATGGCATCTCTCAGATGAAACAACACCTTTGCCACCATTTTCAAACCAAAGATCTTGGCAAACTCAGATATTTCTTGGGTATTGAGGTAGCACAATCTACCGATGGCATTGTTATATCTCAAAGAAAGTATGCATTGGATATTTTGGAGGAAACAGGGTTGATGAATTCAACGCCTGTTGACACACCCATGGATCCTAATACCAAACTCTTGCCAAATCGGGGGAGCCAATGTCGGATCCCGAACAAGTATAGAAGATTAGTTGGAAAATTAAATTATCTTACAGCTTACTCGCCCGACATTTCCTTTGCAGTTAGTGTGGTGAGTCAATTCCTCAATTCTCCTTGTCAAGATCATTGGAATGCAGTCATCCGTATATTGAAGTACATCAAAAAGTCTCCTGGAAAAGATTTGGTGTATGACTCCCATAATCATACAAGAGTTGTCTGCTATTCGGATGTCGATTGGGCGGGATCTCCCTTTGATAGAAGATCTACATCTGGGTATTGTGTTTCCATTGGTGGTAACTTGATCTCATGGAAAAGTAAGAAACAAAGTGTTGTGGCAAGATCCAGGTGCGAGGCGAGTATAGAGCTATGGCCTCAGCTACTCGTGAACTTATTTGGCTCAAGCAATTGCTTAAAGAGCTACAATTTGGAGATGTCACTCAAATGACACTAGTGTCCGACAATCAGTGCGCTCTCCATATAAGCTCTAATCCTGTCTTTCATGAGAGGACTAAACACATTGAGATTGACTCGCCATTTTATTCGGAAAAGATTATGTCTGGAGACATCAAGACTGAGTTCGTTAACTCATGTGATCAATTAGCAGATATTTTCACTAAGTCTTTACAGGGACCTAGGATGGATTATCTTTGTACCAAGCTAGGCACATACGATTTGTATGCTCCAGCTTGAGGGGGAGTGTTAGATATGATTAGATATTAGTTGATATTGTTTGATATTGTTGAGATATTGTTAGATATTGTTAATCACAATATCAAATAATATCGTTTTATTTATCCTATTTGTATTCTGTTACTCTTTTGAGGAGTACCTTTCTTTATTATAAATACACTGCCCTATGTGTGGTAAATACATAAGGGAAATTAACCCTATATTCAACACTTACCAACTTTGCTCAGTAGACTAACACCAACATTGTGTGCATGCACTGAACCAGCCATTGTAACACATGGAACTCCCATGAATAAAGATTCGCAAGTTGTGGTTGTTCCAGCATATGGAAATGTGTCCAAACTACATGAAAAAGCACCAAGTATTGGGATCAGACTCAGAAGATTTTTATCATATTTCAGATATATGTATCGTGTGCATAAAATTAAACTAAAAAAAAGATCAAACAACACAAATCTTATTCCTTATCTTTTTTGAAAAAAGAACATAATTTATACAAAATGGATGAGCAGAAATATAAGTTACAAAAACCTCTTGTGAATATTCTTTTCAATTATAAAAGATGGAATCGTCTATTTCGATATATAAAAAATAATCAATTTGAAAATATCGTAAAAAATGAAATTTCAGAATTTTTTTTCATACATGTCAAAGTGATGGAAGAGAAAAAATATCTTTTATGTATCCACCCAATTTATCAATTTTTGAAAAAATCATGGAAACCAAAATGGATGTCTTCATAAGAGATCAAATTTCTTATGATAAATTGTCTAATCATTGGACCTATAGGAATGAAGAAAAAAGAAAAAAATTGAGTAATGAATTTATAAATAGAACAAAACTTATACTTATAAATAAGGAATTTATTTCTCTCGATATATTCGAAAATAGAATTAGATTATGTAATGATGAAACTCAAAAAAAATATTTAAATCAACAATAAAATGGTAAAACTTCAATCAAGGTTCGTGAAACTACAGACTAAAATACTAATGTAGAATAGACAGCATTTAATAAAATTTCATAAAGATAAGTTGAATAATACATCTAGCTGTTAATGCATGCTTAATATTGGACAAAGTAACCAAGAGATAACCTGGTATAGATATTTGGTAAACAGTCTCCTGCTTTACCAGATATCATCATATATGATGAAGTATGAAAAATACTAAATAACAGGAAATTAAGCTTGAGAGATCTCTCTCAGCTGAACTGTTAAAAGGAGAAAACCATCTGAGTCTGAGATACAAAAGGTTGATAAGAAAACCTACACCCTATAAAGCACCAATACTTCAATTTGCTTAATGTATCCCTATCCAATACATATCGTATCGGATACTTCACCAATATTTGACTGATACGTATTAATGAAATATCCAAACCTATAAAACATCAATACTTTCATTTGTTTTACAAATATACTTTTAGATAATTTACCGATGTGTATGTCAGTCAAATGTCAAAACTTTTAAATCATTTATATTAAAAAAAGTTTAAGAAACATACATGTATGTATAAAATAGAAACATATCAATATTATTTTTCATAAACCAGAGAAAAAAATTGTTCTTATGAACTATTTTAAGAAATTAATGAGAATGATAGTCTTATTCTTATATGTAAACAAGAGAAAATATCTTATAATGATAATTATTAATATTTTTTATTTCCACAATATCTAAGAAATGTGATTTGAAATTTGGATTTGTATGATTGTAGTTTTATAGTTATTATGTTTTATGAATTTTTTTACATTTTAAAAATATATTATACATATTCTATGAGACTCGTATCTTATCCATGCATCATAGCCTACACCCCATGACCCTATATGATTGATAGGTTAAAAAGACATCATCTACAAACCTCGTTGGCAGTGACCAGTAACACCAATGGTGGCAATACGAAAAACAAAAACAGAAACCAAAAAACATACATGGTTTCTAAAAATTTTACACCTATGAATGGGGCAGCGTAATACAAGGATTGGGATTCATTAGGCTATTGATACCATGTTCAGAAAAGAGAATCGAAAAGACATGATGAATTTTGTGTTTGAATCACAACAGAGCTATTCAATTTATAATGGAGAAAAATAATTACAGAATATTCAGCTTACCTATTTTAGACTAATAACATAAATATAGAATAAATCTAATTAATTCTAATATCATCAACTGATCTTAATATCTTAAATTATTTAGGATTTTAACATATCTACAAGATTCTATTAGTGCTCAAGAATTATACTAAACTGCAGTCATATCCAATATACACCAAGGACATGCAAAATGTTAAAAAATTGTGTTATAAAAATGTGGTGCCATGCGTAATAAAAATACATAGTCAACACAACCAAATATGTATGAATAAATAATAAACAAATAAAAACTTGATATGGACCAAAATTTTTAAAGCCAAAAATAGATATTACCTGATGTCCATTAGAGAATAAGCTTGCATATGATCATGGTTAAGAAGAATAAGGGGGAGAAGATCAACTCGTAGTGGTTCCAGACCTAACTTTTCTAGTGTGGAAAGAAACCTCTGTCTCACACTATCACAGCAAAATGGTTTACATTTTACCACTAGGCGAGAATTTGGAATTGCACATAGTATCCTCGCCCAGACTTGCAGTACCTTTGGTGTAATCTGGAGAAATAAAACAACATAAGACGGGATACACAACTTAACTATTAAAAATTGTTATGGATAATAAAAAATTGAAATAGAATTGTATGAAATATATAGTATTGACTCTACCTTGGCAAGATTGTTAAAACTACCAAATGTAATGAAGCCATTGGAAAGAGCTGGAGTAGGACAAACAGGACCAGCCTCAGGAGAAGGAGTGTAACAAAGGAAGCAATCCGGTAATCGAACTAACTCTTCAACATGCCTGTGATTTGGGAAAATTAAAGATTAGAAAATAAAATACGATAAGAGTAGTAAAGAAGAAGCACTATAGATGAATGACAAGAAAGTACAGAAATTCAAGAAGAGAACTACTTCTGCTTTGTTTCAGGGGGGTCTGCCTGAGAATCAGTAATTCTATAATCAATTGTTGGCAATCCTGTTGTATTGGGATAACCAATCCAAGTCACCTGCAAGCCAAGCAATATGTGACAATTTAGCAAAAAGATCAAATTGAAACTCGAAATATTTTCCATGTTAAGATGAATGATACATGCCATTATACACATGGAGAAAGCTACACGTAATACTGAAGCAAAAGCATAGACTAATACGCTACTGAACAAAAGCTCCACAGTTTGAATTATATAACAATAACAATATATGTATTTTAATAAAATTTATATTCTCTATTACTTATTATATACATATGTATTTTAATAAAATTTATATTCTCTATTACTTATTATATTATTTAGAATTTTGACTATTATCAGGCTGATTATCATTATACATTGTTAATTTTAATAATATAATAAGTTACACTTTATACAAATAAATATTAGTTTAAACCTACTTATATAAAAACATGGCTGAGAAATGTTAGACTCAAATTGGAGTTAGGCCATACCAAAGATAAAAAGACACCCTCAAACCCTAAGAACCTGACCCATCATATTTTATTAGCTAACGACACACTGAAATTTCTCAATGACAGAAGTCAAATAATGCAAACAGGAATAGCAAAAGTTGGCAGTGGCATGAAGGAGGTCAGAATGTGTTTGGCACAACAGGTTCCACTCAGGCTTCAGACCCATGATGCCAAAACACTCAGCGCCCCACTAGAACTGCAACTTCAAAACACAATACAATAGTATCTGCATTGTGCCTCACTGCTTCCGTCCATTCTTTAAGGAGAGTGTGTTCAGATGTCCAATATCAGCTAGGATTATGATTGAAATACTGAGTTACCTTTTGGCATTAAGCCCGGTCCCTAACTAATAACTAAGCATTATTGACCAACTCTTTTAATTTCTATTACAGAGAAAATGAAAATAACATTAATATTTAGCATAATAATTGGGGAAAGAGTTGGTCAGTAATACAATGGAACTTTCACCTTATTTTGCACAAAATGAAATCCACATTAACCCATAGCATAGTTCAATGTAAATTTCCTCTAAGAACTTGTGAACACTTGCTACAGAATTCAAAATTGCAGCTTAACAAAATCAACATACTACAAGATATAGATACGGGGAAACAGGGAATATGGTAAGCAAGGATCAGTAAAGTTACAAATTGATAGACAAGGGAAAAAATCAACATAGATGTTCAAAACACCTGAACTGGAGCAGGTCGACATGCCATCATTCCCAGCTTATTGTTTGCAGTATGACCAGTAAGCTCTATTAAAATATCAACTTGATCTTCTCTAACCATGTCAGCAACTTTCTTTTCATCAGTTCCATAAATGTCTCTCCAGATCCCACCCTTCTTTAAGACTTTCTCTCTAAATCGGCTGGTTTTTGCATCTGCCTACACAAACACAAGAAAATCAATTACAGATTCTACATAAAATTATTTAAATGTCAAGACATTTATGTAAATGTCTGTATGCAAATCAGAATCACATTTGGCCTGCTAAGACTGAGGATGAATAATAATCTATAGCAAGAGAAATTTGTATAACATTTAATCTATATTGACAGAATGAAAACCAACTTAAATGGATACCCTTTAAAAAAGTAACATCAAACACTATATCAAACAATATCTTCTGTTTATTCTATTTACTTTTAGTTACTCTTTTAGTTGTATCTCTTTCTATTATAAATAAATTATCTTATGTGTGGTTTTATAATAAATTATCTTATGTGTGGTTTATACACAAGGGAGATTAATCTCGAACCCTATTTCCTCTTTATTCAACATGGTATCTAGAACTTAAGGTTATTTTGAAATATTTTTTTCCCTTTGTCCACTGCTAGAGCCGCCAATGCTGCCGTTGCCAGTTAAACTGATATTCCACATCAGAAAAGATTTATCTTTATTCCTGGATATTATTTGGTAGTGTGAAAGTTCATGTCTAGGACGGTTCTGACAAAGAAAGACTTGGTATTTAAGCGTGTCCATTAGTGACCCACCTCTTTCCTAGGAACTTACCTGATGTACTAGTTCACGCCGTTGTCACTACCGCCGCCTCCGCCGGAGTTTCATTTTTGACCGATGACATACAGTTTTGCTCGCCTTGGCCAGGCGACTACCGTGCCATTGAGATCAACATTATCAGAGTTCCAACGTCGTTTAGTCTCTAACTACATTTTTTGTTTTACCTCCCTTCATGACTTATTCTGCTCTTTCTAGTACTTCCAATTTTGTCAGTACTGCGTTTGATCTTTTCGTCTACACTAACTATGTTAATGTGCACTTATCCACTGACAAAATAACTAACCCTAATTATGCCACATGGTCATCATACATCAGATTATGGCTTAAGAGTCAAAAGTATCTTGATCATCTTGCCTCGAAAGCACTTACTCTCACTCCTGATGAGGAAGATCGTTGGGATACCATTGATGCTCAATTATGTGTGGATCTCAAAGATACTCTTGATCCTTCGTTAAAACAGATCTTTTGTTCCTACAAAACGTGTGCCAAAATCTAGGTACATGCCAAGTTATTATATACCAATGATACTCAACGTCTCTATGGTGTCTGTTCTAAATTTGTAGATGTTATTGCCTCTAAACATTAAGATTCTATTACTGATTATATGGGCAAAATTTATGCTCTTTTTCATGAGTTCAATGAGTTATTGCCTCCTTCCCCTGACCCTGCCACCGAAATAACACAACGATCAAAGTTCTTCATGCTAAGGGCATTACACGAACTTGTTGATCAATATTGACATATTCGTGATCAGATTTTGGGTTCTCCGGTTGTCCCCACCTTGACTTCGACCTGCTCTACTCTTTTGTGTGTACCAGCAAAACCCAATCTTGACACACCTGCTTCTGTTAATGATTCTTCTGCGTTGGTATCTCACCGTGATGACCAAACTCACCCTCGCAAATAGGGAAAGGACATCCTCAGTGTGAACATTATGGCAAACTAAGTCACAAGATTGACCATTGTTATGCATTACATGAGTGTGAACATTGTGGTAAGTTAGGTCACAAGATTGACAAGTGTTATGCATTACATTATCGTCCTCCTCGATCTGCTGCAGTTGTTCAAACTTATCTTTCCCCACCTTTATCTGTTGGGGATCCTCCTTCTGTTTTACCCGATACACCTGCTATGTTTAACAAATTTCTCAAATGATATAAGGATCAAGAGTCTTCTAGTTCTACTGTATCTGTCGCACACACAGGTACATCTTTTGCTGATCTGACCCAATCTTCTTCTCCTGGTCCTTGGGTTCTTGATTCAGAGCCACTGATCATATTACTGGTAATAAATCTTTGTTCTCCTCTTTATCCTCTCCTAATCCTTTACCTTCTATTACACTGGCTGATGGCTCTAGAGTATTATCTCATGATGTTGGAACTATTAAACTTTTCTCTTCTTTAACCATTGATAATGTTTTTTATGTCCCTGGGTCTCCTTTTAACCTGTTATCCATTAGTCGTCTAACTCGTTCTCTTGATTGTATTGTTTCTTTTACCAACAATTCTGTGTGTTTACAGGACTGAAGTTCGAAACAAGTAATTTGCACAGGATGTGAGTCTCATGGTCTTTTTCATCTCCGTTCCTCTACACATGTTGGTGCAGTTATGGAGTCTCCCTCTCTTCTTCATGCTCAGTTGGGCCATCCATGTCTTGCCAAGTTACCATAGTTTGTCCCTGCCTTGTCTAAGTTTTCTAGTTTGGCATGTGACTCGTGTCAATTAGGCAAGCATAGTCGTATTTCCTTTCCTCGTAGTGTCACACGTTGTGCTTCGTCCCCTTTTGTTGTGGTTCACTCTGACATTTAGGAACCTAGCCGCGTTAAGTCTACTTTAGATTCTCAATACTTTGTTACTTTTATTGATGATTATTCCAGATGCACTTGGTTATTTTTGATGAAAAATCGTTCTGAATTATTTCATATCTTTCAAACATTTTTAATGAAATTCAAACTTAGTTTGGTGTTTCTATTAGAGTTGTGAATATCTTTCTCATTCTTTTAAACAATTCATGGTTTCTCACGGTATTCTACATCAAACTTCTTGTGCTTATACACCTCAACAAAATGGTGTAGCTGAACGTAAAAATAGACATCTTATTGAAACAACTCGCACTCTTTTAATTCATGGAGAGGTTCCTCAACATTTTTGGGGTGATGATCTTCTTACTGCATGTTATCTCGTTAATTGCATGTCTTCTTTGATTTTAGATAATAAAATACCTCATTCCATTTTATTCTCTCATGAACCTCTTCATCCCTTACCTCTAAGAGTTTTCAGGTCTACATGTTTTGTTCATAATTTAAGTTCCGGTCTTGACAACCTTTCTCCTAGATCACATAAATGTGTTTTATTAGAGTTTACAAAATCAAAAAAATGGTACAAATATTTTTCTCCTTTTAACCGTTATTTTATGTCTGTAGATGTCATATTTGATGAGTTCTCCCTTTATTTTAAAATTCAATTTTCACCTCTGTCTCCATCCAATCCTGTCAACACTCCTAGTACATTTAATGTTCCTATTGTTTGTGACCCTCTAACTGTGTCTTCTTCACTATTAATTCATGCTCCGTAGTCAGCTTCTTCTCTACTGCCTCTTCAAGTTTATAGTCGTCGAAACCAATCACAACCACAACCATATGACTCCACTCAAGTGTCAACTACTCTGTCTCTTCTGGATCTGACACCTGAATCTGACCTTCCCATTACCCTCCGAAAAGGATCTATTCTATACATAATCCCTCTCTCCATTATATTGCTTTTTATCATCGACTATCATCATCTTATTATACATGTCTTTCCTCTATTTCTTCTGTGATTATTCCAAAAATTGTTCATGAAGCTTTATCCCATCCTGGTTGGCATCAGGCCATGACAGATGAACTAAGTACTCTTCATAATAGTGAAACTTGGGAATTGGTCTTTTTACCGTCTGCGAAATCTGTTGTTGGTTGCAGGTGGGTGTTTACTATCAAAGTTGGACCTAATGGTATTATTGATCGCCTTAAAACTCGTCTTGTAGCCAAAGGTTATACTCAAATTTTTGGGTTGGATTATGGAGATACCTTTTCCCCCATGGCAAAGATGGCTTCTGTTTGTTTATTTATCGCCATGTTTGCTCTTCAACAATGGTCTCTTTATCAACTGGATGTTAAAAGTGTTTTCATTAATGGTGATTTGCAAGAAGAAATCTATATGGAGCAACCTCCTGAGTTTGTTGCTTAGGGGGAATCTTCTAGGATGGTATGTCATCTTCGCAAATCCCTATATGGTCTAAAACAGTCTCTTAGGGTCTGGTTTGGAAAGTTTAGCAAGGTTGTTCAACAATTTGGTATGACTCAATGTGAAACAAATCATTCTGTCTTTTATCGACACTCGAGTGTTGGATGTGTTTACTTGATAGTATATATTGATGATATCGTTCTTACAGGTAGTGACAACTATGACATCTCTCAGTTGAAACATCTCTGTCACCATTTTCAGACCAAAGATCTTGGCAAACTCAGATATTTCTTCGGTATTGAAGTGACATAGTCTAATGATGGTATTGTTATATCTCAGAGGAAGTATGTCATGGATATTTTGGAGGAAACTAGGTTGATGAGTTCAAAGTCTGTTGATGCACCAATGGATCCCAATACTAAATTTCTACCAAATCAAAGGGAGCCTATATCTAATCCTATGCAGTATAGAAGATTGGTTAGAAAATTGAATTATCTTACAATTACTCGTCCTGACATTTCTTTTACAATCAGTGTGGTAAACCAATTTCTTAATTCCCCATGTGAAGATCATTGGAATGCAGTCATTCCTATCTTGAATATATTAAAGGATCTCCTAGAAAAGGATTGTTATATGGTTCTAATAACCATAGAAGAGTTGTTTGCTACTGAGATACTGATTGGGCATGATCTCCTTTTGATAGAAGATCTACATCTGGATATTGTGTCTCCATTGGTGGTAACTTGATCTCGTGAAAAAGTAAGAAACAGAGTGTTGTGGCAAGATCCAATGCAGAAGCAGAATATAGAGTTATGACCTCAGTTGCTTGTGAACTTGTTTGGCTCAAGCAATTGCTTAGAGAGTTACAATTTGGAGATGTCACTCAAATGACACTTGTGTGTGAATATCAGGTTGTTCTTCATATTAGCTCTAATCTTGACTTTCATGAAAGGACCAAACACATTGAGATTGACTGTCATTTCATTCGGAAAAAAAATTATGTTTGGAGACATCAAGACTGAGTTTGTTAACTCAAGTGATCAGATAGCAGATATTTTTACTAAGCCTTTACGAGGGCCTAGAATTGATTATATTTGTAACAAGCTTGACACATACGATTTATATGCTCCAGCTTGAAGGAGTGTTAGATATTGTTTGATATTGTTAAGATATTGTTAACCACAATATCAAACTATCTTCTATTTATTTTATTTACTTTCAGTTACCTTTTTTAGTTGTACCTCTCTCTGTTATAAATAGATTATCCTATGTGTGGTTTATACACAAGGGAGATTAATCTCAAACCCTATTTCCTTTATATTCAAAGGCTGTCTACGCAATTTCTCACAATATTCTCCAAGTCTTTGAGAGGTCTAAGGATCAATCAGTTTTCCAATTTAAGGAGTGTCATAATTATTTTTAGCAACATGTATCTTTGATTTAGTATCATATCTTAATTATTAGTGGAAATCAAATCTCTTCTAGTTATGGTATTGATTTCATTTTCTAATATAAATAAATCATCACGCTATTATAAAAACACATACTTTCAGCTCAATGCTCTCTTTTCTTATATTTTAGTAGCATGCATCAATTTTGAAAGCCAATCAACTATAATGCCTCAGTTTCTATCATGGAGTATCAGGTAAATTTAACTACAATATTAAGATAGCATGGTAAAATATTTCATGCAACTATCATTAAAACCAAATGGACAGCAAGAATATATAAATTTTTTGCACATGCATTCATAATCTATACCTTGACAACTGCTGAATAAACAATGACTTTATAATTGGTATAGTCATGATAGACAAGCGGAGCTTCTATGAAATATGACACAGAATGCGTAAAATAATCAGGAGAGACATATCCTATCACAAGAGGCCTTTCAGGATCTTTCGAGTTGTCCCATGATGTGAACTGTGAATATAGTCTCATAAATCGCCTACCCCAATCCCTGCAAGGAAACATTTCTTTGATAAATTCTCCAGCCTGCATGTCATTTCACTTTTCCTACATCATGTAAGCTGATATGCATAAAAATTATGGCTGAAAAGTGTGGCAATTGAAACTACCACCAATGAAAACCCATGCATCTCATTAACCACATAACGAAACACTACCAGCAGAGCCAACAAGAGATATACATTAGTAAACCTACTACAGAACACAGGAATATGAATTTTTTTTTCCTAAAACCCATGCCAATTGTAATTTGAAGCTATTCAGCTACTATCGTGATTATATAAATGTCTTACTTCAGTGTAAATAAACATTCAAGAGGTTTATTACATGTTTCCAATACAATGACTAGTTTAAGGGATATATCAACACAACATCTAATCGGATTCAAGTTAAAGAGATTTTAAAATTTTTATTTATTGAAAAAAGTATCATTGCAGTTTAAGGTTTACAACCAGGTCACCAGAAATGTCTTAATTCCTTTAAAACTCAATCAAGTATTCACTCCATTCCGCTTTACTTTCTTAGTACACAGCTATATAAGAAAATTATTTTTCTTTTAACTGTTTCTATTTTATTTTACTTCATTCCAACCATTAATGTTTTTGAAATCTAATAAATCGGCACAAACCATCTCACTCCACTGGCACCATGCAGATGGCATATCTGTTTCAGTTTTAGGTAACTAATTAAAGTACCTTTTCTCATCACCAACAAAAATATTATACTTCACCAAACATTTATGAAAATCGATGAAGTTGAACAGGAAATCAATCAAAGTATTATTTGTCTCATATAGGGAAATCATACTTTTTTTAATTGAACATTTATAAAAATAGTCAATGAATTGACCGTTTTATGTAATGGCATTTGACTAAACACTATCAATAATCAAAATTTAAAACTGTACCTGTGAGCCTCAAAAAGTTTTTCATCGTTTCCTTCATCTATATAGTTCATTGCAAGTAAACGGTTCTGCACATTATTGTATATAAAGAGATATCAATTTCTGTATAAAAAAAACAATTAAAAGAAAAAAAGGACTGCAATAAACAAAATCAATCATCCCATTCCACTATCAGGTCACAACTAACGAAAAATAACGAGAAAAGATTTCCAAATTATGAGAAAGCTATGTGACTTTGAATCTTGAAAAATGCCACTTCAAGACCATTAACACCTAACTGAGCTATTCATTCATCATGGAAACTTGAAGTCCTCTACATTTTTTTAAGAAATTTAAAGAAAGATCAGAACTAGACAAAGAGAGGAAAAGGAGATCAGGGAGAAAAGAAACTTCTATTGACAAGATACTTAATTATTTATGTTCATTTCCAAAAAAATTGGATTCCAAGGAAACTGGTCCACTAGATATCAAATTGTTGTATACAAAAGATGTAAAATTTATTCCTGATTCTCAACATTGTCAATAGCAAAAATAAGAAAAAAATGGAATTGCAAGCTAGGTTGGAAGCAAAACTTTTGCAGCTTTAGATATACCATATATTCAAGGTCTTACTTTAAACTCTTAAAAACCTCTAACAAAACAAAAAAGGATGGGAGGCAAGATTTCAGCGGGAAAGTGAGTAAAATGAAACCCAAAATAATAGATATCTTGGATTAGTTGAAAAAAGTTTCCTTTCCTTATCCTAGTCAAAGGAAATAAAATAATAATATATATATATATATACAAAGTTTCCTGTGATGATAATAAAGGCATCCATAGTAGCCCAATGGGGACATAAGTCTATCTCCAGGTTGAAAGATACAGAACATAAAACAATGATGAATGAAAATGCCAAATCAGAGTATACCCAAAAACATTATACACATATATAAACAAAAATTCTACATTCTTTTATCCAATAAAAGGATGGAGGTAAGCAATTCTATATCAGAGTCCAAAGGTCATGACAGTTTTAAGATGTCATGTACTAATGAATCATTTACAAATACCTATTAAGTCACATCACCCATCACCCATGGTTATCAAACTTGCGAGTCAACTCGCTGACTCAGATGAGTTAGCAAGCCCAATGGCTGGTCACGAGTTAACTCGTGAATAGATTCGGATTTAAACTTGGTGGACTCTATGCAAACTCACGGGGTGTGAGGGCGAGTCACTAAGTTTGAAGGAAAAGCGACACTTACAAAGTTTTGAACGTTAGATTTGGATCAACCCTACGTTTTCTTTGTTTTTCATACTCCTCATCCCTTCTCACTACTTACAGCTACACTGTGTTGGTCGTTGTCACTGCAACACTCTATTGGCTGTCGTCGTTGTTGCACTAGTCATGTTACTCATTGGTCGTTGTTTGCTGGTCATTGTCACACTTTTCGTTGGTCGTTGTCGCATTGGTAGCTAGTCACACTGCTCTCGCCATTGAAGTCATCGTTGGACGCAGGCTACTCACCATTGAAGTTGTTGCTAGTCGCGTTAGTCAATGGTGGCTTGCTAGTCGATGTTGATCTACTGTAGTGACACAAATTGGATTGGGATTAGGGATTTTTTTTAATATTTTTTGGTTATTCTTCTGCATGGGCACAGGTTGAATTAATTTTTTTTTTTTTTTTGGTTTTTTTAGATATAAAAATTGAAATTTAAAAATGTCTGGAATTGGTTCAAATTTCCTCTGAAGGCAATGTAACTACCTCTTCACTTCCACCTAAAAGTAAAAATGCACCAAGAAACAAAAAAGATATAGGATGGAAATATGGAATAGATATTTTGGGAAATGAAAAAAAGTGAAATGTATTTAATGCTCAAAGATATTCAATGGAGGAATTTTTAGATTTAAGCATCATCTTACTGAAACTAGATATGATTATGAACCTTGTACTTCAATACCAAAAGAAATTATAATTTTAATGATAAAAATTGTCGCAGAAGCTAAGGAAGTCTTAATGAAGAAGAGAAGGTTAAATAGTATTGAGGAAATTGATGATGAACCAAGTGAAACAAAGTCAAAGTAGTAGGATACTTAAAAATACTGGAAAGGGTAATAAACTTAGTAGTGCAATTCAAGTAACTCTAAATCAATTATGCAAGAAAGGTGATAAAGAAAAAATATATGCTCAAGTTGCTTATTTTTCCTACATGGGTGTCATTTCATTCGATGTTATTAGAAATCCAACTTTTGCAAAAATATGAGATACGATTGGGAGATATGGTATTAGCTATAAACCTCCATTAAAGAGAAGATTCTAAAATGAGCAGTGGAAAAAATTGATGCAATTCTTCACTAGTATAGGGATAAGTGGAAGAGAATAGGTTGTACAATTATGTCTGATGGTGGACAGATAAAAAAAGACGTTCAATTTGTAAATTCCTGATGAATAATCCTAAAGGGACTATGTTTCTTTATTCATTGGATTAGATATCTCAAAGACTACAAATAAGGTATTTAAGATGTTAGATGATGCGGTGAAATTTGTTAGAGAAGATAATGTAGTGCACATGATTTCTGATAATGCTACAAATTTCAAAGATTGTTAATGCAAACACAAGCACCATGTGTTGCCCATTATATTGATTTGATCTTTAAAGATTTTGAGAAACATTTATGTTGAATATAGTGAAAAATTAGATATAGGGTTAATTCCTTTGTGTCTAAAATATACATAAAGTAATATATTTATAATTAAGAATCATAAATATGATAAATATATATATTGTGACTAATAATATCTAGAATATCTAACACTTCCCTTCAAGCTTATGCATATAAATCATATGTACCAAGTTTGATACAAATATAATCAATTCTAGGTTCCCCCGTAAAGACTTGATGAAAATATTTATTAATTGTTCACTTGAGTTAACAAACGCGGTCTTAATGGCTCTAGATACAATCTTCTCTTGAATAAAATGACAGTCAACTTCAATGTTTTTGGTTCTATTATGAAAAATAGGATTAGAGCTAATATAATGAGCAGTCTGATTGTCATATATAAGTGTTATTTGAGTGATATCTCTAAATTGTAATTCTTTAAGTAAAACAAGTTCACAAGTGACTGAGACCATAGCTCTATATTCTGCTTCAGTACTAGATCTTGCTACAACACTTTGTTTTTTGCTTTTCCAAGAGATCAAATTACTTCCAATAGAAACACAATATCCGGAAATAGATTTTTTATCAGAAGGAGATCCTACCCAGTTAGCATCTGAATAACAGAATATTTTAGTCTGGTTATTGTGATCATATAACAAACATTTTTCAGGAAATCCTTTAATATACTTTAATATACGAATGACTGCACTTCAATGATTTGCACATGAGAAATTAAGAAATTGACTTACCATACTAACTGCAAAGAAAATGTCAAGACGAGTAACAGTAAGATAGTTTAATTTTCCAACTAATCTTCTGTACTTCTCAGGATCTGAGATATTCCCCCTGATTAGGTAGGAGTTTGGTATTGGGATCCATGAGTGTGTCAATAGATTTTGAGTTCATCAACCCAATTTCTTCTAAAATATCCAATGTATACTATCTCTTAGATATAACAATGTCATTATCAGATTGTGCTACCACAATCCCCAAGAAATATCTAAGTTTGCCAAGATCTTTGGTCTGAAAGTGGTGACAAAGGTGTTGCTTCATCCAGGAAATGTCATGATGATCACTTCCGGTAAGAACAATATTATCAACATATACTATTAAATAGATACACCAAACACTTAAGTGACGGTAAAATACTTTAATGATCTGCCTCACTGCAAGTCATATCAAATTGCTGAACACTACTAAATTTTTCAAACCAAGCCCTAGGAGATTGTTTTAGGTGATATAAAGATTTGTGAAGGCGATGTACCAATCTAGAGGACTCCCCCTGAGTAACAAAGTCAGGAGTTTGCTCTATACAAATTTCTTCCTACAAATCTCCGTTAAGAAATACATTTTTGACATCCAATTGGTAAAGATACCATTGTTGAAGAGGAATCATGACTATGAATAAGCGAACATAAGTAATATTTACCACTAGAGAAAAGGTGTCACCATAGTCCAATCCAAAAATTTGTGTGTAACCTTTTGGCCACAAGACAAGCTTTGAGACGATCTATAGTACCATCAAGACCAACTTTGATAACAAACACTCACCTGCTACCAACAACAGGTTTCCCAGACGATAACGGGACAAGTTCCCAAGTTCCATTATTTTGAAGAACACTCATTTCATCAAGCATGGCTTGACACCAACCAGGATGGACTAAGGCATCACTAACGGATTTGGGAATTGACACAGAAGAAATGGACGAAAGACAAGTATAAAAAGGTGGAGATAATCTATACTAACTCAAAACAGTATAATGAAGGGAGGGATTACAAGTAGAATGTATACCTTTACGTAAGATAATTGGAAGGTCAAACTCAGTTGTCAGAGCCAGAGGAGACAAACGAATTGGCACTAGACGTGAGTCATTTGGTGGTAGTTGTGATTGTTGTTTTTTATTATAAATCTAAAATGGTGGTGGCGGAGGAGAATCCAACGGTGGGTTAATAGGAGAATCACATAGGAATATTGACAATAACATATGACGACACACAAGGAGAAGAAAAACACTTAAAATAAAAGGAAGACTTATTAAAAGAGAAATCTTTAGAAATAAAATAACAGTTAAGAGAAGAAGAGAAACCCTTATATTCTTTTTGTGATCGTGTAAATCCAAAAAAAAACATATTTGCGTGATTTGTGAGATAATTTATCAAGACCAGGACTAAAATTATAAACATACATGTAAACCCAAAAACATTAAGAGGTAAGAGATGTAAAGGTTCATGAGGAAATAAAAGAGAATGAGAAATTTTGTTATTTAAAACCGCATGCTATTAAGAAGATATCATGTAGTAAGAACAGCATCATCCCAAAAATGTTTAGGAACCTCACCATGAATTAAAAGAGTGAGTTGTTTCAACAAGATGTCTGTTTTTGCGCTCGGCCACCCTATTTTGTTGAGGTGTATAAGCATATGAAGTTTAATGCAAAATATCACGAAAAGCCATAAAATTTTTAGAAGAACGAGAAAGGTATTCTCAGTCATTATCACTTCGCAAAATTCGAATAGAAATCCCAAATTGAGTTTTAATTTCATTAAAAAAGGATTGGAATATAGAAAATAACTCAGAACGATTTTTCATTAAAAACAATTAAATACTTCTAGAATAAACATCAATAAAAGTAACAAAATACTGAAAACCTAAATTAGATTTAACACGACTAGATCCCCATATGTCATAGTGAACTAATGTAAAAGGAGATGAAGCACGTTGTGAGATGCTACGAGAAAATGAATTACGACTATGTTTTCCTAATTGACATGACTCACATAGTAAACTAGATAAATTGGACAAACTGAAAACAAGTTGGTGCAATTTGCGAAGACTAAGGTGACCTAGCTGAGCATGGAGGAGAGATGAAAACTCCATAACTGTACCTACATGTGTAGAAGAACGAAGATGATAAAGACCATGAGACTCACATCTGATGTCAATCATCTGTCTCGAAATCCGATCCTGTAAACAAACATAATCTTTGGTAAAAGAAATAACACAATCAAGAGAACGAGTTAGATGACTAATGGATAATAAGTTAAAGGGAGACCCAAGGACATAAAGAACTTTATTAATGGATAAAGATGGAAAAAGTTTAACAGTACCAATACCATGAGGCAAAACCCTAGAACCATTAGCCATTGTAATCGAAGGTAAATTATTCAGAGAGGATAAAGAAGAAAACAAAGATTTGTTCCCAGTACTATGATTTGTGGTGCCTAAGTCAAGAATATAAGATCCAATAGAAGGAGATTGAGTTAGGTTAACAAAAGATGTACCTGTGAGTACAACAAAAATAATGGAACTAGAGTTCAGACGAGCCTCATACCATTTGAAAAATTCATTGAAAATACATACCATTTGAAAAATTCATTGAAAATAGCATATTTGTCTGCGGTATAAAATGACATAGGATCCACAGTAGATGATTATGGGACAACAAAAGAAGCCATGGAAGAAGAGAGAGTAAAAACCTTAAAAACTTTAAATAACGCATAAAGACTTTGATTGCAACCATCTCAATAACATGGTGGTTGCCTAGTCAAGATGAGAAGAACGGTGTAGTCGCCGATTAGAACTGTGACTCGAGCGGCGACGGTGGCTCCGACAACAATGGCGACTCCAGCGACAGTGGCAACTCCAACGACAGTGGCAGCAGGTGCAGGGGTAGCGGTGACAACCAAAGAAAAAAGAGAACCTAAGCTTTAGATATCATGTTGGATATAGTGAAAAACTAGTTATAGAGTTAATTCTCTTGTGTCTAAAATACACATAGGGTAATATATTTATAATTAAGAGTCATACAAGTAAATATGGTAAATACATATATTGTGACTAATAATATCTAGAATATCTAAAATATCTAACAATTTGAATGATCATCACCTACATTTTATGGTAGAACAATGTTAATTAGTATGTTGAAGAAGTTCGCAAAGGGAAGAGACTTGATAAGGCCTGGTATGACTAGATATTTGCCACATCTTATTTGACTCTAGTTTGTCTTCATGAATTGAAAGCATCATTGATGAACATGTTTAGTTCTCAAGAGTTGAAAACAAGCATGTTTGGAATGTCATAGGAGGGGAGAAATGTTGAGAACATGGTATTAGATAGTCGTGTTTGGAAGAATGTAACTTACATGCCTAAACGTTGCAGCCCCTCTAATGGTGGATTCACATTCAAAACCCGCAATGGGTTTATATATGAGTAAATGGATTGTGCAAAGAAGAAGATTAAAAACAACTTCAATAATATTAAGAAAAAGTAAAAATTCTAAACTTTATCTCATTTAGAATTTCATTACTTAATTTGCAATCAACTTCTAATATAACACAATTGGTATTTTTGTAGTTATGAACCTATTTGGAAAATCATTGATGAGAGGTGGGGTAATGAACTCCATGAACCTGCAACACCTTATTACCTTAATCTCCATTTGCAGTATGAGCCTAATTTTAAAAATGATGATCCTGAGGTGAAAGAGGGGTTTATACATGCATGAAAAGATTGATTAATGATACTACAAAATCGAAAAAAATCAATTTAAAACCCATTGACTTTCATTATACAAAAAGGATTATTTTCTATGAAAGACGCAAAGGATTGTAGGAGAGTTATGTTTCTGGGAGAATGGTAGGAGATGTTTGGGGATGGAACTTCAGAGTTAAAGAGGTTTGTTATTCAAGTTTTGAGCTTGACTTGTAGCTCTTCTGAATGTGAACATAATTGGTGTTCATTTGAAATGGTAATTCAAGTTTATGTAATTATCTTGGTTTGGTTTATACATTTATAGGTTCATACAAAAAGAAGAAACCATTTGCACCAGAAAAAGATGAATGATTTCGTTTATATCATGTATAACTTGAAGTTGAAAAAAAAAAAACAAATTAGGAAAAATGTTGCTCTTCCATTTGATGATATTAAGTCAGAAGATGAATGGAGAACCGAAAAGGGAAATAAAGTTGAGGTTGAGTAAACTCAAGGGGAAGATTATAGTAGAAATGTTGACTTAGTGGGACCAAGTTCATATGATCCAACTCTAGATACACTTGAGTTTGATAATATAGTTTTATATTCCATTATTGATACACACTTCTTATCCAAGGAAGAACATGATGGTGATGAAAATCACATATATGATTTCATTAGAGGATTAGATGAAGACATATAAACATAATAATATTTGTGTTTTTTAGTTATTTCACTGTTATCTTATCACTTTAAGAACTTATATTTGATTGGTCTATTATTGTATGAACTTATTAATTTCAATAATGTGGAATTGATATTATCATGCTTATACTTTTTGTTACATTGGTATTTTTCATATGAAGTAGACTCTTACGAGTCTACAAACCTCTCACGAGTTTCCGTAGACTCTCGAATATGATAACCTTGAGACCACCTATTTATTCAAGCTCACAACTAAACACAAACCAATTATTATACCCTTTGTTTTAACTTGTAATTCTAAGATCAATCTCCTTCGATTTGTTTCCTTTTTATTTAGAAGGACTAAAACCTAAAGGGATATTACATAAGGGAGCATCTTAATGTTAATGTGATATAAAACCATCATTTTATACTACTAGTAGTAACTTCTATTTTACAACATTCTATTCTATAGAAGTTAGAGTGCCCAAATTGTCCTGTCAGGTTGCACGTCAAAGGATTTAGGGAAATTCTTAAATAAAAAATTATGCTCTATAAGAGTTAAAATGCGAATGTAATTTCTCTCAATAGTTCCAATTGTATTTTGCATAAGCTTTAAGAAATAATGATAGGTTCAAACTAAGTTTCAATTCATATTTTCCGCAAACCACAATTTAATGGTTTTATGTACACCAGCATGGCAACTTCCAGCTGTGGAAAAAATTTACAAAATCAACAAATATGAAACATTCATCCATAATGAATCAGACCTGGCCAGCATTTCGAGAATCAGGATCAATCTTAAGACATTGCTCATATGCATTAATTGCTAGTGTGATATCACCAGCATCCCTGTAAAGAACTCCTGCACAACAAAAATGCAAAAGATTAAGTGTATGATTATAGATGTGGTAAGAGTTTCATTCACTTGTGCACATTGACATAAATCATATTTTGTAAGAAATCAAAATTTCATAACATAGGGGTACTTTTAGCAGTCTCCACCATGCAAAGTATGTAATGTAAACACAATCAATCACAACTTTTCAAAACTCCCTTGGACTGGAATTCTAAGAACTCAATGCTGGTTTGAAGCAAATTTAGCTATCCTTGTTTAAGTAGTAGGAATATCATTTCAACATAAGCTTGTAGCCTGCTTTGTGGTCACTCTATAGGAATTTTTTCTACTTATAAACTAATCAATGAACTTCCAACCAAAAATGGTCTGTCCAAAGAGCAAGCAAAATATGATTCACTTGTGGACCTATTAGAGCATTATTTGTCGACTTTCCTGACTACCCTAATAAGTCCATAACATTACTCATTCACAGTTCGGTTATTCAGCGGTGTAATGGTTAGATGACTCTTTTCAACCAAATTCTCATAAGCCATATAACCAAGGCTAGACTCTCCTGACATGTCAAGCAAGAAGGCAATAAGCAGCACAACCTTGACTAAGATAGCATATTTTAGTCCTAACAAAGCCAAAATGACCAAACAACAACAGCCTCATCCCACTTAGTGACCCCACAATTACTAGACTAATTATCAATTAAAGATAAAAGAAGACCTAAGTTATTGTAGGCCTCTGCATATGTTGGATTTGCAATGATAGCTTTCTCAATCATACTTGCTGCAGCATCCATTTTTCCCTGGAGAAAAAAGAAAATGAAATCAGCAGTAGAAGGAATTTGATTAACTTCCAATTTAAGGAATGCACAAATACTTAACCTGGACAGTGTATACAACACCAAGGTTATTTAATGACTGTGAAAAGTTGGGTTTGATTCCCAAAGCAAGCTGCACAACAGGAAAAAACAAAAGCTTTGATAAATATCTATGCAATCCCTCCAACAAGGCTGAAAACAACTGACATGACTGTCATACCTGGTAACATTCCACTGCTTTATCAAGGTTGTCACGATCTTTATATATAACACCTAGATTGTTACAAGCTTCCGCACAATGAGGATTGAAGTGGAAGGCAAGTTCATAGAACACGATAGCCTACGTAGTATAAACAATTTTTCAACAAGGCAATTAGTTTGGTAATATAATAGATGAAGTACATTTAGAAATATGGTCTGAGACATACCATATCAAACTTAAGCATCTCACCATAAGCAACCCCAAGATTATACATAGCATCAGCATAATGCCAATTATAATACAAAGCTTTCTTATAAAAAGCCACACCACGGTTGATGTCACCCTCCAATTTAACCTACACACCAAACCAACGATCTAAATAAGTAAGAAACGGTGATTCAGAGTTGTCAACATATGCATGTTAACCTATAAACCAATATAATACACTTTAGAAAAGAAAAAAGTAAATATTAAATGGAAAGCAATAACCATAGGTCTAAAGTCAAAATTTTCCAGAAATTTATTCCTGATCTACATGCAACAAAGAGAGTATTTGTATTTTATAAAAGCCACTTCACAATTAAGTTAATCAGTCCTCCGACCTTTATCAAGCAAACAGCTTTGCATTAATTCAAATTTGCATAAAAAGACAAGCTCCTTGCCATTATGTTTGCATTGCTTGCCAACTCACTTCAATTTTATTACCATTGTATTATTGTTCAATTTTATTACCATTGTATTATTGTTCATGTTGATAGTTAAATTTGTTTCTTTTCATAGAAACAGGACATCATTTAACAGAAAATATCAATAGTGTGGCTCAAAAACAATTGGAAATAGGTAGGATAATGTATGCATCACCTTTGTTCCCAAATCTGTCAAAGCTATAGCCATATTATTCTTTGCGATCTCAAAGTTAGGTGAAACAGCTAAACACCTGACACAATATAAACTGATCAGAGAATACAACAGCAGAAATCAAGTCATTAAGTGCATGCTTGACTATTTATTTTTAGGAAGTAATCATTTTTTTTTCCTTTTCTCAAAAGCTCTGTCAATAAGAATTTTATTATATATTATCTTGAGCAAAATTAAAGTAATCATATAAAACATTCAAAAGATATTAAAATTACATGTACCGTAAAAAGGACTACAAGTTCTAGATATATGTATTACCTCTCATAACAAGTAATAGCTGCTTCCAAATCACCACGATTTTTGTATATTACACCCATGTTACAGTATGCTTCAGCATACATAGGCCTCTCTAGTGCTGCCTTTTCATAGAAATTAAGGGCCATATCATATTGCATCATTTCAGAATAGACCACACCAAGGTTATAATATGCTGGCTGCAAGCACAAATAAAATGAAAAAACATTCCATGAGGGTACAGAAAGCTAAATAAATTTAAATGGGATTTAATAATAAAGCTTAAATGACGGAAATGAGGAAGAATTACAGCATAGTGTGGATCTATTTTGAGAGCTTCAAAATATTTTTGAATTCCTTCCTGAGTGCTTCCTGCAAGCTTTATGTTGGTACCAATATCTGTTAAAACAATTGCTAAGCACTCAGCAGCTGCTTTGTATGAAGGATCCACTTGGAGAGCCTTTTGATATGACTGTTCCCAATAAATCATTATATTAATATACCAGTTATGACTTGTGATCAAAATGTGTAAGCACAATATCTAAGTTCAGTATTAGAGGTAAAGTTTAGTATGTCATGCAAATTTAGTAATCAGAAAAATTATCTCATTCGCATTTAAAATTAAATTCATTATAGATCATGGGTTTGTTTTGTAAATAGCTTAATTAAGCAATCTTACTCAATCAGAAGTTCAGTACTTATCAAATGACTTGTAAGCTTGACAGTAATATCTTAGTGAATAGGCATGCAGAATAGATACACAAATAACTACAGGAAAATGCATCCCTTCATGTTCTAAAATTATTTTAAGTAAAATAGGCATGCAGTCATAGTATCTGAATTCTGTAATTTAAAACAGCATGGATTAAATGTACATTACTAAAAGAAAAGTAACTCTACAGGTGTATTAACCAATATTATGTTACATAGACATTTGAAATGACCCAGAAAAGAAAACACTTTGCCCAATAATGAGTGGAACTGAAGATTCTCTACATATAGAAATATGCAAATCATGGCACTTTCAAAATATTGATTACAATGTTAGCTAAACTTAATCAACATTGTATTGAACTCGGTTCAAAGTGACAAAGAATCAAGCACTATGATCATGCACTACAATCTTCCCGATTCAGGTGAAGTGAGGGTGAAATTAACAATATGGATCATCGGAAGGAATACAAGTTGCACGCAAAACTGTACTCAATTCTTATGTAACTTGCAGTTGCATATTATCAAGGATGCCTTATACACTACCATTTCTTGCCTGTCAAATTATTATTCTCATTGGAAATAACAATATTGATTAATATGGTCAGTGGAAATTCTGGAAGTTGTGTATCATTGAAAAGACTAGGGTTGTAAAACATAGATTAACTCTTTCTTATTGTCCTTGTAATTGTAAAATGTATTCATTAATTTATATGTGTGTAAAATACCAAAGATATGGAGTTCTCTCATGTAAGTAACTTGCAGAACTGTCTAATTTCTATAAGTCTAGTCTTGAGTTTATCCCTTCCTATTGGAAAGAGCTACAACTTTACAAACTTAATGAGTAAAGACGAGATCAAGACATAATCAGGGACTGGTATCTGGTCATAATCAATGAGCTAATAGAATTTTATTATATGATTATGCCTCACTCAATATAATAGATGTACCCTGCAGGTAATGTCATATGCAATGTAATCAATAAACCTATAAATCTATAATCATTATTACTTCATTAGGTTAGTTAAACACAAGCTTCATATGAAAACAGGAAAAACTCAATAAGCAAGCAGCTAAAGCATTTCTCATCTTCCACAAACAATATTGAAAATACAAAATGCCATTCCATTTCACCATTAAGACTACTTAATTGGCATAATGGACATACCTCAGCGGCCTCCATGAGGCGACCTTCGTCTTTGTACAGAATACCGCAATGTGTGAGAGCACAAGCATTCTGAGGATCCAACCTGATCGCCTCAGTAAAACTCTCAAAGGCAAGCCTACCCATATTCTGCATCTGCAAACATATCCCTTTCCCAATAAGAGCCTCCACATTCCCACCATCACTCTCCAGCACACGCTCGTACAGAGCAAGAGCATCCACAAACTTGTTCCTCGAACGCAGTATGTTGGCATACGAAACATCATCCTTCCCTTCACATTTCTTACTCACCGAACCCCCATCCCCAACAGAACCATCAGAAGAAGGCTCAGACACTTTCAAAAACCCATTTTCCCCAACGAATTTCTTTTCCCTCCCATTATCCCCGTCATTATCTTCTATCCATGCCATTCGGACCACACTTACCTACCCATAAGAACAAACACACATTTGATCAAACTATTAGCTTCCCATTGCAATAAATGACCAAATAAATAAATAACTAAATAGCACAGTACATGTAATTGAAGCAGCGAGACTCCAGTAACGCAGTTAAGTTCACCAAAACAAAACTAAAGAAACAGAAAGGAAAAAAAAAAAACCCTAGGAACAAGTTCAACCAGCATTAGCGGCACGAGGGGGTAATACAAATATTGTTTGAGGCATAACAAAAAAAGATGAGATTTTGATAAGGGATTAGGGGTTAGGCACTTACAGGGTGCTTTTAGAAGGCTCTTCAGGTGGTGGGGTGACAGGGATAGGGCATGGGAAGAGAGAGAGGTTAAACACTTGAGAAGAGGAGCATAACGAAGGAATGGAATGAATAAAGGGTTGGGGAATGAAGCTTGGAGGAGGGAGTGAGTTGTTGGATGGAGGTGGAGTTGGCGGTGGCCACACAAGGGAACGCTCCCCCTCCGGTAGTTCGATGTCTCCCAAAACCCAGAGAGAACCCTGACACTTCTTCGGTGATTACAACCAAGACTATTTTTTTATCAGTCACTATTATTATCAGTAAATAGTAAAAATCAATCAATAAAAAATAGTACATTCTTAACCATTCATTGGACCTTGTATTACTTCAACACACCTACTTCAAATTCGATGAGTTACTAGATCGATACAGATACAAGTTCAAATTTAAAATTGTATCTGAAGTTTCAATAAAATAATAATTATATATTAGTAATTAGTGATCAATTAGTAGTTGTTTCATTGATTTAGAGATTAAATTTATGATTAATGAGTTGAATTAAACAATTTAGTGATTGATTTAATGATAAAATCAATTGAATGATTAATTTAGTGAGTGATTTCAAATGAATTAGCTATTTAAGTGATCGATTTATAAATGATCAATTTTGTGAGTGAATTTGAAGTAATTCAATGATGAAATCAATTATTGATTTAATGATAAATTTGTATCTAGTTTCAATAAATAATTTAGTGACTAATGGCATAATAAAAGAAAAAAATGGACCTATTCATTACAAATTAATTACCTATTTCAGTCACTAAATAAATTATTGATTTAGTAATCGATTTCAATGACTAATCAAAATATTGAAAAATTAATGATGAAATAAAAAAAATCAATGATTAATTTAGTGATTAATTTGGTGACTAATTAATGAACTATTTAATGACCCATTAAGTACATGATTTAGTGACTTAATCACTGGTCAATTTAATAATAGAGTTATTTTAATAAAGAGATTAGTGACTGAGTGATTATTTTTGTGACACCTTTAATACCAACATTTACTTTATTATGATTTATTAATTATTATTAGTTTCTCTTAGTATTTGATTACCAATACACTCTTGTAGAAGTAAAGTACACAATAATTAGAACATACACTTAGAGTATTTATATACAT